CCCCCAGCGGGCCGCCATGCCTCGTCTGCAGGATCATGATCCCCAGTGTAGCACGTACACACACATGCCTGAGCATGCATTAGTCGTCTTCCCCGACCGAGCCCCCCCCCCCCCCCCCCCCTTTCCCCCACCACACACAGGTGCACAAGTTTGGGGGCACGTGCCTGGCGACCCCGGAGCGCATCGACGCGGTGTGCCGGTACCTGACCTCGCCCGAGGCGGCGGGGGAGCGCAGGTTGGCGGTTCTGTCGGCCATGGGTTCCCACCCCTCCTCCCCCGTCAAGGTTACCGACCTGCTGCTGGCCATGGTGGCCAAGGCGGGGCGCCGCGACGAGAGCTACCTCCTGGAGCTGGCCGCGCTGCAGCAGAAGCACGTGGCCGCCGCCGCGACACTGCTGGGCGCCGACTCCCCCGCGCTGGTGGAGTTTGTGGCCGGGCTGGAGGCTGACATGGCCGACCTGCGCTCCATCCTGCACACCCTGGCCATCGCGGGGATGTCGGCGGAGCCCTTCGAGGACTACGTGGCAGGGCACGGAGAACTGTGGTGCGGACGCCTGGCCGCGGCGCGCTGCCGCCAGCTGTGCGCCGACGCGGTCTTCCTGGACGCGCGCGACGTGCTGACCGTGCGCGACACCGCCGACGGCGCGTCGGTGGACGTCGAGTACGACGCCAGCGACGCGCGGCTGGACGCGTGGGCGGCGGCGCATGGCGCGCCGCCCCTGCTCCTCGCCACGGGCTTCGTGGCGCGCAACCCGGCGGGCCAGGCCACCACGCTGAAGCGCAACGGCAGCGACTACAGCGCCACTATCTTCGGCGCCCTGCTCCGAGCCGGCGCCATCACCATCTGGAGCGACGTCAATGGCGTCTACTCTGCAGACCCGCGCAAGGTGTGAGGTTTTCTTTTGGGGGGGGGGTAGGGGGGGGTCCTGAAGGGTGGGGAGGGGGGGCCACCGATTTGAGCTTGGGTCGTAATGTATGCACCACCGCGCCTTCCAGAACATTACCCCCTCGCCGTCCCTAGGCACCCCCCCGCCTCATCTCAATCTTCCTCCCCCCTTCCCCTCCTCACCCCAGGTGCCCGAGGCGGTGTGCCTCCGCCACCTGTCCTATCACGAGGCCTGGGAGATGTCCTACTTCGGCGCCAACGTGCTGCACCCGCGCACCACCCTCCCCGCCATGAAGTTTGGCATCCCCATCACCTCCCGCAACTTCTTCGACCTGGTGAGGCCGGGGAGGGGTGGGGATGAAGGGGGTGAAGGGCTGAGTCGGGGGGGGGGGGGGGGAGGGAGAGCGATTGTCAGGCCCCTGACAATCCCCCGCGCCGCACCTGTCATGGGCGAGCGGGCTCAGAGACCCGAGGCACCCTGTCCTTCCCCCATGTCTGGACCCTGTTGATACCAGCTTTGCCTCGCGTGTCTGTCCCCATCACCATTCAGCCCATTCCCTTGTTTTCCTCGAGCAACCAGTCCCTCCCCACCCCCCACCCCCCTCCCCCCAAAGCACCACCTCTCTCCAATCCAAAGTCGGAGGCCGGGACGATGATCAGCGACGGCAGCATCCCGCAGGCGGAGGGCGTGGACCTGACCGGGGTCAAGGGCTTTGCCACCATTGACGGCGTGTCGCTGGTGAACGTGGAGGGCACGGGCATGGTGGGCGTGCCCGGCACGGCCTCGGCCATCTTCGCCACCATGCGCGACGCGGGGGTGAACGTGATCATGATCTCCCAGGCCTCCTCGGAGCACTCCATCTGCTTCGCGGTGAAGGCCGCGGACTCAGTGCGCGCGGTGGACGCCCTGCGCGCCCGCTTCCAGGAGGCCATCGCGGCGGGGCGCATCTCCTGCGTCGCCGCGCTGGACGACTGCTGCGTGCTGGCGGCGGTGGGCAGCGCCATGGCCAGCCGCCGCGGCGTGGCAGCCACCATGTTTGCCGCGCTGGCCCAGGCCAACATCAACGTGCGCGCCATCGCGCAGGGCTGCAGCGAGTACAACATCACCGCCCTGATCGACGCGCGCGAGTCGGTGCGCGCGCTGCGCGCCGTGCACGGCCGCTTCTACATGCAGGCGCTGACCATCGGGCTGGGGCTCATTGGCCCTGGCCTCATCGGCTCCACCTTCCTCCAGCAGATCCAGGACCAGGCGAGGAGGTTTTGGGGGGTGGGGTGGGGGGAGGTGTGTGGGGGTGTGGGGGGGTGGAGGGTTGGGGGGCCGTGGTAGGGTAGGGGGGAGGGGGGGGTTTCCACACCCACGCTCCTCGACACACACGCATCAGCCCCTCCTTCCCCGCTTTCTTCCCACCAAATCCCAGGCCGCCAAGCTGCGCGACGAGTACCACCTGGACATCCGCGTGCTGGCCATCGCCTCCTCCAAGCGCATGCTGCTGTCCGACGACGCCATCGACCTGGCCGCCTGGCGCGGCGAGCTGGAGGCGCGGGGCGAGCCGCTGGACGAGGAGCGCTTCGCCGCGCACCTGTCCGACAACTTCATCCCCAACGTGGTGGCCCTGGACTGCACCGCCGCTGAAGGGCCCAGCGAGCGCTACCTGGAGTGGATGCGGCGCGGCATCCACATCATCACCCCCAACAAGAAGATGAACAGCGGCAGCCTGGAGCGGTACCGCGCGCTCAAGCGCCACCAGCGCTCCTCCTTCATCCACTACCTCTACGAGGGCACTGTGGGGGGGGGAGGGAGGGAGTGGGGGGAGGGGAGGGGAGGAGGAGGGGGGAGAGCTGGGGCTGATGGGCCCGGGAGGACTGGGAGGAGGGCAGGGGTCGCAGAGCTGGCGTGCGCTCAGGCCGGCGGAGGCTCTGGCGTGCGCTCACGCCGGCCCAATTCCCGAAGTATTCACCGGGAGCGCATTCTGCTGTGCCTGCTCACAGGGGCCCAGAACTCCCTCTCCACACCGTCGTATCCCTGCCTTCCGCCCCCTCTGCTCCGCAGGCCTGCCGGTCATCGCCACGCTGCAGCACCTGGTGCAGTCGGGGGATCGGGTGCAGCGCATCGAGGGCATCTTCTCCGGCACCCTCTCCTACATCTTCAACACCTTTGGCACGGGTGCGTGCGGTGGGGGGGGGGGTCTTGCTTGTGTGTGGGGGGGCAGTGGGTGTCTCGAGTGCTGCATCGTATGGCGGGGGAATCCAGCGTGAGACAGAGCATGGCTGGCGGAGTGTCTTGTCTGGTTTGGATTTGAATGAGCCAGCTCCAGCACCCCCTCATACACACACCCGCTCCTTCCCCCCAACGTTCCCCCTTCCACTACCAAACAATCCAGACGATCGCCCCTTCTCCGAGGTGGTCAAGGAGGCCAAGGCGGCGGGGTACACCGAGCCCGACCCTCGCGATGACCTGGCGGGGACCGATGTGGCGCGCAAGGTGACCATCCTGGGTCGTGAGGCGGGCCTCCCCCTGGAGCTGGACGACGTGGCGGTGGAGTCGCTGGTCCCCGCCCCGCTGCGCAGCCTGCCCACCGCCGCCGACTTCCTGGCGCGCCTGCCGGAGCACGATGCGGAGATGGACGCAGCCCTGCAGGCGGCGCGCGCGGCGGGCGAGTGCCTGCGCTTTGTGGGCGTGGTGGACGTGGCGGGGCGGGAGGGGCGAGTGGAGCTGCGGCGCTACCCCACCTCCCACCCCTTTGCGCAGCTGTCGGGGTCGGACAACATCATCGCCTTCACAACGCAGCGCTACGCCGCGCAGCCCATGATCATTCGCGGGCCGGGGGCGGGGGCGGAGGTGACCGCGGGCGGGGTTTTCTCCGACCTCCTCCGCCTCGCCGCGTACCTGGGGGCACCGTCGTGATTGCATTTGACCACGGTGTGAGGTGTGAGGTACAGACCAGACGCTGTCGAGTGGGGTCGGGTGGTGAGGGGGTGCTGGGGGACAGTAGCACGCAAGCAGCGACGATCAGCAGCCCAGTGCAGGGCCTTCCTCGCTGAAGAGTGAGTGGTGGATGTGGGCGCTATCACATCCGACAACCGAACCTCCAAGTACCAGGGACCCGGGGAACCCCTGCAAGACCTCAAACCCCGCCTGGGGGTCTGGTGACGGCGATCGCGCGCGCGCGAGGGGCCTCCGCAAATCCGCCTTATCCCACAGCACCAGGCACCTATCCCGGGCGAGGACCCGTGCAGAAGTAGCACTCCTCGCTCCCAGCCGCACCCCACACACCTCCAATGTCGGTCCTCAGGCAGGCAAGCATGCCCGTACGGCTGGCCTTCAGGGGGGCGCCCCTGAACCTGGCACCCAAGGCCGCGCCACACCGACCCCGTGCCGTGCGAGCACGTCGCGTTGCCCCCCGGGTAGGCTTGAGAGTGGATTTTATCAGAAAATACTCTATGTAAGGGCGTCCAAGCACAATATGGGGTCCCAGGCTGGACTCCGATCACGGCTCCTACGGCGCTCAACCCCACACCGTCGCCACCCCCTCTTCCCGCAGGCCGAGGCTACTCAGGTGGGATCCACCTACGCCAACGCCCTGATCGAGGCCGCTCAGGCCGAAAACTCCCTGGAGGATGTGCACTCCGATGTGGATGCCCTGGCCGGGCTGCTGAGGGAGAACAAGGTGTGAAAGGGCACTGGGGTTTGGTAGTGCTTGGGATCAGGGACCATGGATCCTGCTGGCACTCCTTTCCCATGCGGAAATCCCCTCACGCCCTCGCCATGTCCCACACCTCTGCCTCATGCAGGACATCGCGGAGTTCCTGTCCAACCCCACCATCCGCGTGGAGGCCAAGAAGGAGCTGCTGAAGCGGGTGGGGGGCGAGGTCGGGTTCAAGGACTACACCCTCAACTTCCTGAACCTGATTCTGGACCGTAACAGGATGGACTCGCTGGACGACATCGTGGAGGCCTTCGAGACCGAGTACTGCAAGCTCACAGACACGCAGGTGCGTGGTCGTGGGAGGGGGAGAGCGGGGGTGGAGCGTAGGGGGCAGTGTGAGGGAATCGATGTGATAAGAACAGCAGACTGGACAGAATGTTTCCTGAAGAAAGGCAGCAAGGCCTCGGCTGGCCCGCACAGGGGTCTCACTGCTGTTGATTGGGCGAATCTTGCAACATCGTTTTCTGCCGTCTTTCTTCGTTCTTCATTCCTCATCTCTCCCCCCCCCCCCCAAACCAAGCAGTTGGCCACGGTGCGCAGCGCGGTGAAGCTGGAGCAGGAGCAGCAGTTCCTGATCGCCAAGAAGCTGCAGGAGCTGACGGGGAGCAAGAACATCAAGCTGAAGCCCGTGGTCGACGAGTCTCTGATCGGAGGGTTCATCGTGGAGTACGGCTCCTCCCAGATGGACCATTCAGGTGGGGGGAGGAAGGGAAGGAGTGGCATGCATCTGCCAGCTGGCCCCCTTTGGTTCTCCGGGTGGAGTTTGATGGTGCAGGGGGCAAGCTGGCGGCTCAAATTGCCCAACCCAGGGCCTGCTTGCACCCTTCTGTTCCCCTTTGGTCCATCCCCATCCAATCCTTGCTCATCCAACCTCCAACACCACTACTTTACAGTGAGGGGCCAGCTGGACCAGATCACCTCTGGCATGAAGTCTGCCGCAGAGAAGCTCTGATGCGGCGTTGCAGACCCCCTCGTGCCTGGCGCGCCCAAGCCTCGCATTTGCTTCTGCCTTTGGCTCGCACTGTGCAATGGCAGCTTCGCCCAACAGTGAGAGAAAAACATGCTGTATGGGTGTAAGAACGTCCCATTAGAGGATCAGGGCATGCTATTAGGATCAGGGCATGAGACAGGAATTGTTGAGTCATTGAATAGCCACTGAGCGATGAGGAAGAAAATTCAAAGGTGCCGGGAAAACTTGATCACGGATGCTGCGACCTGAGCGACGACGGGCATACCTACAAGTGTCAGTGGCCTCCCCCGTGTGATTGAGGATGAGGTGTGGCCTCCTTTCATCAGGACTTCTGGTCGCGATGGAGACGCAGCGCTTGGGCCAGGCGAGCCACCGCCTCCTCAATGTTCTCTGGCGTCTCAAAGGAGAAGGCGAGGCGCACGCACGGGACTGCCGTGCCTGGAAGCCCAGATCTGTGGGCAAGGACAAGGTGAAGGTCGGGGGCGGGGGGTAATGAGTGGAAGCCCCGGCTCAACCCGACGGGTCCGACGCGGGCCTGAGCCTTCCAAGCACTGCTGTGGATCGAGGCAGCGCCTGCACTGGGTGCTCCATCACTTCTCGTTGCAGCCGACCCACCTGGCGTGGAAGATGCGGCCCGGCGCCACCACGACCTTTGCCTCCACCAGCGCCGCCGTCAGCTGCGAGGCGTCCTCCACCCCCAGAATGGTCATCCACTGAGCAGGGATGGGTGGACGGGTGTTCTTAAGGGGGGGGGGGGAGGAGGGCAGCAATTCAGAGGTCCCAGGTGCAGAAACACACCGGCCATGATCTGACGTGGCCTTGCTGTCACACAGGCTGTGACGCCCCGCGCTTTAATTGGCGAATTGATAGCTCCAGGGACTGCCGGCCGTCCACCAAGAGTACTACCTACCAGGCCAACCCCTGCCTCCTCCCTAATGTGCATCCTTTCTTGCCCATGCAGAGGAGCCATGGCCCCCAGTCTCGACACATGGCACGCGATCCACGGCACCCCCCTTCACTTTGCCTGCGCCTCCCATCCCCAGACCATTTCAATCCACGCTTTCCCCCCAAACTGCCATTCCTCACCAGGAACATGCCGGCGCGGGGCAGGGACCAGCGCGCCAGGCCCTCCAGGTGGCGCTGCGCCGCAGCGTGCATGGCCTGCGCGCGCTCGGCGTAGATCCGCTGCACGTGGCTCAGGTGGTCGTGCAGGCCCGCCTCACCCCAGGAGGAAAGCAGGGCGGCGGCCATGGCCTGGGCCACGCCGCACGCGCCCAGGGTCTGCGTCTGCACCGCACAGGCGGCCACCTCGGCGAGGCGCGGGTGGCAGGTCAGCCAGGCGAGGCGCAGACCGGGGGCCAGGAACTTGGAGGCGCTGTCCAGGCGCAGCACGCGGCCGTCGACGTCCAGGCTGAGGTAGCTGGCGGCGCGGGGCAGGCCGCGCAGGCCCGGGACGTCGCCAGAGCCGTGCGGGAACTGGAGGTAGTAATACGGGTCGTCTTCCAGGATCAAGAGGTCGTAAGCCCTGACAGGGAGGGAGGGGTGGGGTGGGATGGTGGGTGGGCGCTGCTGGCCGGAGCAGAGCTCAGGAGCTACATGCTGAACGGTGAGCAAGCAAGCTGCCAGGGATCATGGACTAGGCGTGGAAGCAAGTCGTGACTGACCAAAGTGTAGAAGCGGCAAGGCAATGGGACTGGGCAGAGATCATCAGCTGCAGGCCCACTCAGTGTGATCTTCCCCACGACAGGCCACCTGTCAAGCAACCAATCGTGTTGCCTCCGCATGCCCCACCTGCACACTTCGTATATCTCCTTCCTCCTCTCCAAGCCTGTGTTCGTGCCAGTTGGGTTCTGCGCCGTCTGGGCGGGCAGGAAGGGGGAAGGCAGGGTGGCGGAGTGGTGCAGTGCTGAGCTTCAGGACACCTCCTTCAGTTCCAATGTAAAAAATGCCACAAGCACCCACACAAAACCAGACTTCGTGCCGCCAGTCCCTGCACCACAAATGCTGATCCTGCCCCTCGGCTCACTGGCACAGTGTAGAGGAGCTTGGGGAATGGCTGGGTGCCGCTCTTCCTGATGCCCTCCAGGCCCTGTGGATGGGGACAGGGTAGACAACATGATGACTCACAGTCCATCAAACAGCACAGTCTCTACGTTTCTGTTCCAGGAACGTCATCACACAGGTCCTGGCAAAGGACGGAACCAGAGTCCTCGCTGCATCGCGCTCCTCACCTTGGTCAATGCCAGTGGACACATTCCCCCATCGTTCGTGGCGATGGGAACCAGGTTGATGCGATCGGGCGCTGCCAGGCACTCCGAGACCTGGGGGTAGGACAGCTCCTCGACCACCATGCTGTCGCCGGGGTCGAAGAGCATGGAGAAGAGGGCGCTGAGGCCCTGGCTGGCCCCTCCCACGATGATGGTGGTGGTGGGTCGGGGTGCTCCGTGCAGGTCTGCGACATGTCGTGTGGCCCAGTCACGCAGGGAAGGCAGGCCCGACGGGTGGATACCGTACTGCAGCTGCCCTTGCACCAGCTGAGCAAGGGTTGGGTGGGGAAGGCACAGTGTGGCGGCTTGGCGGGCTGGTCAGCACTGGCTGAGCATGGTGACATGCCCCAGACCATCGATGGGAAGCCCCTCTCCAGGCCCAAATCGGCGATCGCATGCATGACGCACATCGTTCTCTCCGACCGTGACTGTGCTACCGTCACGCAGCTTGATGTCCAGCGACAGCATGGGGAAGGCGTCCGGTGGGGGAAGGCCGCCATGCAACCCAATCACACCAGGAACGTTCTGAAATTTGGCCACCAGGCCACGCAGCTGGCCATAATTCAGTGCGGCCCCCTTTTCCGTGATGAACTTTCTGGGATCAACGTCAGTGGCAGGATCGGTAGACACCATTGCAGGGGAGCAGGGCCCGACGCGTCTCCGAGACGGCACGACACCAGGCGATGGAAAGCTGATGCCGCAATTGAGTCGCGCCGATGCCCACTCGAATCTCTAGAGTGCGCATTAGTAGACAAGGTGCATCAATGCACTGTGTATCTTGCCCCCCAATTCCGACAGTTCTGAACCCTGCGTTGGACACGTGGAGCGATGGGCCGTGTACTGACTGGACAACTCAATTACCTAAGTGTTTTTTCTAGTATGTATATTGAAAAATCCTTTTCCATCAATGAACCCTATAATCCATTGTGCATGTAAATTCATGATATCAAATGTATATATTTAATTGTACAAGGCAGCTGCCATTAGGGATCTGTTTTGCTTAGGCAATTAGATCCCTACCAGGCTTGCGCCGGTTGCACAGCTGCTTCCCGCAAGCGGGATCTGACTGGCGCAGTTGGTTGCCTCGATCGGCGAACCAGAGGGGGTGGGGGTGGTGGGAGGGCGGGAGAAGGGGAAGCAGGGGGTCCACCAAAAGCTGTGGGACGAAGTGCATTCGCAAAAAATCACTTGAGCAACATCAGGATGTTGACCGCCCCGTCGACGTCGCGATTGACAACGTTGACCTTGCAGGCCCTGTTGGTGCACCGCTTCGTGTCGCACAGTTCCGTCCACGACACACCGCATCACTCCCACTGTACCAACCCCCCTCCTCAAACTCCCCCTCTTCCCGCAGGTGCCCGACCCACAAGACAGCCAGTACCGAGGTGCTGCTGTCGCGGGCGGTGTGGATCGTCCCAAACCTGCGACAGGGCCTGGCCTGGCACAGGGACGAGAAGCCGTTCCGAAAGCGGCGCCACCAGGCCTACGTCGGCAGGGAGCGGTTCATCACCCAGCTGACAGAGCAGTTCCGCGCGCCCCCCGGCATGACTACGTTCGTCGGCGTGGGCAACTGGTCGGCCCAGGACCGGGGGGGCATCATGCGGGGGCCCCCGCCGGGGCCCTGGATACGCTTCTTGCGGCGCCTGCGGCGGGTGTGCAGGGTGGTGGTGGTGGACGAACACAGGTCATCAAAGCTGTGTTGCGCCTGTCACGCCACCCTGCACGCCCACCAGTACGTGCGGGTTTGCCGAGGTGAGGAGAAGCTGGTGGACGTTTGGGACACGAAGCGGTGCACCAACAGGGCCTGCAAGGTCAACGTTGTCAGCCGCGACGTGAACGGAGCGGCCAACATGCTGATGCTGACAAAGTGCTTTTTTGAGAATGCACTTCGTCCCACTGCATTTGGTGGCCCCCCTGCTTCCCCTTCCTTTCCTCCCACCCCCCCCACCCCCTCTGGTTCGCCGATCGAGGCAACCAACTGCGCCAGTCGGATCCCGCTTGCGGGAAGCAGCTGTGCAACCGGCGCAAGCCCAGTAGGGATCTATTTGCCTAAGCAGATCCCAAGTGCTCACCCATTCAGCCCTATCAGTCTGGGATATTTCTAAAGAACACATGTGCTTACTACGTTTCCTGGTCGCCGGTTCCGTGTCGGCATTACCACAAGAGGAGAATGGGCTGGTGTCCACCCTTCACCGTACCTCGATATAGTACTAAAGTGGGAGCAGCGGGGCTGTTAGCGTCACCGCAATCCTATGAAGACGTGGTGGAGATGGTTCGAGGATGATTGGCTATCTTTTCGGCACCCCCCCGTAGAGGCTAGCTACCAGTCATGGCTGCGCCAAATATGGGCTGACAACGATTGGTACAGCGGCATCATCCTGACGGTAGGTGCACCTGCATGATTAGGATATTACCCGTGCCCATGCATTGGTACGAAAGCCCCTCCCATGCCGGCACCGCGCAGGGCTACGAGACTGTGTGCATGCTCAAAATCATGCAAAAACGTCCTCCAGATGCCATGCCCATCGCAGTCCATGGTGAGCTGCTTCGCCTTCTCGGGACTTGTTGGACAGAGTTCCGCATACGTTGAGCTGCCTCACACAGGCTGGCCCAGCTGTTAACCCTCCACTCCTTCCCTTCGCACAGTTACACTGGTGGCATGCCTTGCAGCGCTCTCACTCCTTCCCATCTACAAGCCTGCTGCTTGGGTGGCACACCGCAACCTGCTGGCCATGCTAGCGATGTTGAACGTGACCCTCGTCGGTGCTTTCTGTGTGTGAGTGCGCCAAGCTTCCCGGCTCAGGGTGTGGGGTGCCAGGCCTCGCTGATGATCTGGCATGGCCCCGATGCATGGGTCCAGCTCCTGAAACTCCATCCAGTTCCGTTCAGAGCATCCCATCCCCACCCATTCTCTCTATAGAAACCTGCCGTCCATAAGCGTAGCTGTCCTGGGCACATCGCACCTGGCACAGCTGGTTGATAGGTGCGACTGGGTGCATGGCGCATGGCTCTCGAAAGGGGTGTGCTGCATGCGGACAAGGTTTTCACGACGTGAAGCCTGGATTGACGGGTGTATCTTGCAAGACACGGAGCAAGCATTCCATGCGCAACCCGATTGTTCTTGAGCTTTTCACCCTGTGGGCGCCAGAGCTGCGCAGCTCCATGCTCAGCACCCAGCCCGCATCCACGCTCCCCTCTCACAGCGGAGCTTGCATCCCTTCCATCGCCTCGAATTTCTACATACATCTTCCACTGAAGCGGAAGTGCCTTGCCCTTCTATTGTGTGAGTCAGGGGGACGCGGGGTCTCGAGCAAGCCTGTGCGGCTGCAATGTTGTTGGCCACAGCTGCCAAGTGTAACGGGGCGCATGCTCCGATTACATCAGGCATTGCTGCGGGGAGGCACGTCAAGGCGTCTCCCTGCTCAACCGGCAAACCACCATGCGACCCCATCCCCTCGTTCTCCCTCGCCCGGACAGGTTTCTCTGCAACGCTGTGTCGCCTGTGGTACTTTGGCAGGCAGGAGGTGAGTTGGGGTTGATGCTGCGTCCCCCGGAGGCTTCACATGGCCCGACGCCTCATGCACTCGGCTGTGGCCCCTGATCGCCCTGCCCCTCACCCAACCTGCGCCGGCTTCCAGGACTCCATCGTGCGCGTGCTGTCTGTCCTGTGCGGTGTCCTGATCCCGCTGGTGCTGAGCTGGCGCCTGGAGTACAGGTCGAGGTACCGCTTCCTGCTCCAGGTACGGTCCGCGGTCGATGGCCCCCACGCCGCAGCTTGCAGATCCCTCATCCAGTGCATTCACCGGGGCCGGCGGAGCGGCACCCTTTCGCCTCCGGCGCATCAGGCCATGCAGCAGCAGGCGACCAGGCCCCTTCCATTGCCCATGCAGATCCGGCGGGGTGGGAGGGGCCGGGACGGCTGGGGCCCCAAGGACGCCCTCTTCCGGGACTGGCTGGCCATTTCCCTGCTCTGCGCGCACTGGGCCCTGGACACCGCCACCGTCATGCTGTTGGCCAGCTACCTGATCATGGCCTGCGGGGCAGGCAGGCCGCTGGCGCTGGCGGCGCAGCTCCCCGCCCTCGCCGCCGTCCTGGTCATCAACGTCCGACAGTACCTGTTTTGAACGGGCTGGCGGGCGCCGCTGGGGACTTGTAGAGCGCGGCGCGCACCCACCGCATGCAGTGGGGTACACTATTATTTCTGCTGTACTGCTGAATTGTTTTGTGGGGGAACGAGCCATTTCCAGATGCCCCCCCCTTCCTCTATGCATATCTTACCCAGGCTCTGCTCGGGCAGATGCCTTGGCCGACTTTCGCCGGGCTTTTTGAAGACGCCATGCTGCTGCCCGTTCAGGGCTTTACCCTGTGCCGGCAGGCAGCCTTGCGTCCTCCTGCGTTGCTCATGGTCTGTTTCGGGGCCCAGGACTCGGGCAGGTGCGTCATGAGATGTACTCCTTTTATGCTGGGTTATTGAGAGGAATAATTCCTGATAGTCATGCAGCCAGTTCACCGGACCTCCTGATCAATCTACGAGAAGAAGACTCTCAGACTTCATCCAGGAGTAGAGAAGATCTCACGGCAGTACTACAGCAGGTTCCGGCAAGCAGCACGCCGTGCTCCTCATGAAAACCCTCTCGCCTTGGCGGGCGTCCCTAGTCCCCGAGGCGGTCTGGTTTCTCCGAACTGGGCGATGTGAGATCCCTTGGAATGAAACCGGCGCAAGGGATCAGCTCTTCCCGGACGACACCTGCCGACGTTTCCCGGGGGGAATCGAGGTCCCCACACGCTGCAGGGGAATGGCCAGACTATCTTGAAGCGACTTATAATGACTGGAAGACGTGAAATTCGGTGCAGACCGAGGCCAACATAGGCGTTATCCTGGCGGTGAGAGTCGGGGCCGCCGTGATCGCAGCGGTCAAGGGTCCCTTCCCATCCACGTGCATCACCCCTTCCCATTCTCCGTTGTGACAGGCTTCGCACATGGCCCTTGCCTGGAATATATCCAGGCAGAGGCACACTAAATCCTTACGAACAGGCCTGCATGGTACGCAAAGGGGCCCAGCGGGTGTGCCCTCCAGGATGCAAGCCCAGGCTGCACTCCCGGCCCCGCCTGCTGCCCTGCTTAGACTCCTCCCAACGAGGGGTTCACCCCATCACACCCTCAACCCCACGCGCATCCCCTTTGCTCCCTCCCAGTTGCCTCGGTTGTGGCCCTGGCGGCCACCCTGCTCCTCCCCTTCCTGCACAGCCCGCTGTGGGTTCGGCATCGCAGCGCCAGGGGGGGTCTAGCCATGCTCTTCAACACCATCAGCTACGCCTTCTTCCTGTGAGGAATGGCAGAGCAGGGCAGAGGCGCGCTTCCGCAGCATGCGCCAGGGCTGTGGGGTGCCTTCAAGCCTTGCCGTGGCTCCAGGTGCTGCAGATCGTGCTCGACATCTGCTGGTCCCTGGCACGCAGGATTCGATCTGAGTGCCTGGAAACGATCCACGGCGACAGCCTGCCGGCGCAGCTGAGTGCCAGGTGGGCATCGCACGCGCCGGGCATGGGGGGTCGCAGGGCAGTGACCGTGTGCCGTGCTCCCCGATCACACCCTTGCAGTGGCTGGCGCTACTCCTGGCTCTCCCACACAGCTTGGCGGCCCCAACACACCCCTGCAGTGGCGCTGGCATCATCACATCTCCTCCAACCTGGCCATGAGCATTCCCCTGGGCCTCAAACTCCCAGCTCTCATTGCCTGTGAGGATTCCAGTGATACTGGGGAGTGTGCATGGGGAAAGGAGAATGAGGGCATCCCCCGTGCATGGCAGCTTGAAGGCTCGAGGGGCGGGACACCTTTGGACACGTACATAGCATCTGGTCTCATGGCACGGGTTGCACCCGCCCCAGCTGCACCTCCCCTCCCTCCCGTGCAGGCATTGCTGTCCTCGGGGCCAACCAGCTGCACTCTGGAGTGTGGAAGGTGCAGTGGCCCAGCCAGGGGCCGTGGCGGGCGGGGCAAGTGCGTCGCCCTTTCCAGCGCGGCACCGGCAGGCATTCCCACGGCGCAGACAGCCCTCCCCCCCCCATCACTCCCCAGGACTCGGCTTTCGCCAGCGTGGCGATTGTGACGGGCGTGAGTGGCCCTCCTGCTGAGCTGGCGGCTCGACCACCGCTCGCGCTACACGTTCCTGCGCCAGCGGGCCAGCGGGCGTCAGGGGGCCCCGCCCGCCTTGGCGCGCCGACACCGCCTGGGCTGGTTGTGGCTCCTCCCCTTCTGGACCCTGGAGGGGGTCACAGTGTCCCTGCTGATGGCATGCAACCTGCATGCGGCGGGCTTCTCTTTCATCTCGCTGGTTGCCGCCCAGGCGCTGGCATGCCTGGGCACCATTTCTTACGATCACAGTGTGTTTGTCGCCGAGGGATGCTCCCTCCACCCTCCATACCTACCGTGCTCCTGCAAACCATCCCCTTGATCTCCCACCCCTCTTTGCCATGACAGCCTGACCTTCCCACTCTCTTTTGCATCGCCCTCAGGCCGCTTTGCCACCCTCTCCACACTTCCCTTAGTCCACGACTTGTGCGTCAGAACCCCAGGACTTTTTCATGCCTGGCTTTCTGTTGCCAGACCCGATGCATGCAATTTCAAACAAGCGCACGCATCGGGGGATTGATGCGTACAGCGCACGAGCCAGAAATAATGACGTCATCATGGCAGCAGTACTGCTGGGGGAGAGGGTGGGAGCCCATATGGAACCAATCCGCTTACGACTTCGAGTCCCCACATTCCTGCATCTACTCCACAAACTGAGAGCAGCGCAGGTGTACCCACCGACCGCTCTCGTCACTCGACCTTGCGGTACAGCTCCTCGACGCCGGCAGCTGCGCTGCGCGACGTGCACGCTGAATCCCATCTCGGGAATGCACGGTCATGCAGGCATGCCAAGACTTCAAGGGCATGTTTGTGGTGAATTCTAGACCGCTTTTGCGGGACGAGATGGACCCGAAGGGAGTGGCGGTGGACAACCTGCAGGGCTGGACGCAAGAGTTTCGCACCCCCGACCTGGAGGAGGAGTACGCGGACTGGGTGGCCAGGAGCGTGCTGTGGCGCGACAGAATGCACGGCGTGATTTCAGCGGTGAGCTCGTGCATGCATGGACGTGTGTTCGCATTGCAGCTTGCTCTTGGAACAAGGGCCCGACCAATTCCCTCAAGCCCTGGCCTCCAGGCCTGGGATGCTCTGGCGGTCTGGAGCATCCGTGGCCACTCCGTCCCAGAACGTCACAGCCTCGCACTGACCGGTAAGCTGGTGACTCGGGGGAAAGGTGGGGCATGCGTGACACCTTGGCCCAGCGCTGCTCGACGCTGGGGCCCCCTTTCTTCCACAGTGCCCTTCACAGCGCTGGCCTGCACCGCCATGCTCCTCCCCTGCCTCTGGCCCAAGCTCTGGATCCGGCACCGCCACAACCTCGTTGCCCTGTGCATGGTCTCCCACACCATCGTATTCGCGGTGTTCATGTGCGTTTTTTGGCCGAGGGCTTGGTCGTGTTTCCTGCGGGTGGGATGTGTCCGCCCCCACGCAACCCATGCCAGGCCAGCACCGCTCAGCCACCCCGCACCCACTCTCCCTCCCCCCCTTTCTGCACCCGCTGCAGGAGCTACCACTCCATTGTCACCGCAGTCCTGGGCCACACCTTCATGGCCAGGGTCGTGTCGAGGTGTGTGGGTGGGGGGGGGTGGAGGATGCTGTTTGTGGCACCGCTGAGCTCATGAGGTTGCCTGCATGCGGGGCCATGTGGGGGCTGGCAAGGCTTCCATGCCCACTCGCCACCACCCGTTTGTCCCTCCCTGCAGTGGCGTGGGAGGCCCTGCAATGCTCTCCGTCAATTACGAGTGCGTGCCCCTCCCCAAGAAGCTGGCCACCCTGGCGGCATGTGAGTGAGGGTTTGATGTGCCCTGCCTGGACCTGCATCGGCTTGGGGGGCGGCAGGGGATGCCCCATGACCGACCTGGGCTGCCCAGCACGTACAGGCCCCGGCCCCAAGCCCCGCGCCTCGCCACCACGCGCAATGCCCCCTCGTGCAGGCACCAGCATCAATCTCGCCGTCGTGCACCAGCAGCTGGGCGCCGAGGTGGGCTCCTGTGGGTTGGGGAGGGGCTCGGTGCTGAGCCGCTCTGGGCGTGGAAGGGCCCTGGCGCTCTTGACTCCGGCCCCCTCCTCTCTGGTCTGCTGCCACGCGCCCCTGCCCGGCAAGCTGCCGGGTGGACTGGACCTCTGAGACCCCCTCCCCGCACACGCCGCGTCGGTGCAGGGCCTCCCGGTGATGCTAGCCGTCCTCCTGTTTGGCGTCTGCTACCCGATGGTCCTGAGCTGGCGAGCAGAGTACAGGATGCGGTTCAAGTTCCTGCGCAAGGTGGGTCAGGACTTCATCGGTGGCGGCGGCGGGCTTTGTCTTGCGCATGTGTGTGTCTATGGGAACGAGTGTTACGGGCGTGAATCGTTCCCAGATGCCTCGCTGAGGCGCAGAGTGCCTCCCTCCGTGGGACCTCTCGTGTTTTCCTGGCATCGGCGCCGCGTGAGGGCCGGTGCTGTCGCCTCAGCTCAGCACCCAGCCCCGTACTGGTCCTGAGCCTCTTCAGACTGCTCTCAGCGATTCACCCGTGCGCCCCTTGCCGACCCCACATACACAGCTCACGCCCGGGGCCAGGCCGGAAGCGGGCCGGCCATCGGCGTGGACCCTGCTGGGCGGCGCGTGGCTGCTGCCCCACAGCATCACCCTCAGCATGACGGTCATGCCCCTCCTCTGCATCTCCATGCTCGCCCGCCACTTCTCCGCCGCCTCCGTGCTGGGCGTGGAGCTGCTGACCGCCGTGCTGCAGGCCACCACGTACTTCAAGCTTTACATCGGCGATACAGACTGCTTCCAGCGGTGAGCGGTCGGGTTGGGGCGGTGGTGGAGGTGAACCACGCGTGCCTGCGCGCGCGCACCCCACCCCCCACCCAACCCACCCCCCCGGGCGCGCGGAGCGCCCTTCCAACCCAAAAACCCGAGTCCCTTCCCTTGGCCCCTGCGACGGCTGGTCATGCGCAGGGCCAAATGCACCTCTCGCACTCACCTTTCCTCTCCCTCGCCAAAATGCTATTTTCTGAGTGCTCCGAACCCCACGTTTGCGGCAACATCACTCTCTGCTCCAAGATTGCCTCCACCCCCCCCTCCCTCGTCCCTGGATGCCACCCCGGCACCATCACCTTGCGCTGAAGTGTCTGCCGTCTCGCCCCACCAGCCGGCTGCCATTTTTTTCTCTCCAGAAGCATCGCTGGTGACTGGCCCTTGGTAGGCCATCCCAGACAGAATCCCTGGCGGGCACGTGCAGCCAGGGGATACACCTCTCGCTGAACCCATGTTTCATCCCTTTCTGGTGCACCTTGAATCAGTTTTTTAACGCACTGGGCCAGCTGCCTGTGCGCAGGATGATTCAAAGGGGTAACTGTTGTGTGAGCTGGCAGCAAAGTACGCCCTGGTCAGAACCTGAGTCCCACCTACAAGGGGATTATCCCGCATGCATGACATGCGCTTGAATGGGATTCCAGTGTTCGTGAGGGATGGAAGTATCGGTGAAGAGATCGCCCTGCAGCATGGGCGCTGAGGTCCCGGGAAATCACGAATGTCGATGCGGGAGCATCGTCATAGAGTGCAGCTCGGGCTGGGACTCGAGACCTAACGATGCGCCCGGCACATTCTCCCTAATGGCAAGAAGGGAGTAGAGGAGTGCGGGCTCAACCCTGTGAGCGTACGACTCTGGCGAGGCATGTGGCCGTGCCCTCGCACACAGAGACCCTCCCCGCTCCCCGTGCCCGTCGCACGAGCGCGCTGTGCAGCCTCAGGGAATCAAGGCGAAGCACCAGGTCTGATCTATGGGGTAACACATGCATGTCGTCCCATGTGCAGCATCCTGGCGATGCGAGGGGGGGTGGCTTCATGCAGGTGCCGCTAGGGTTAATCGGCACTTGCAAGTTCGCGGATCACACACGTGTGCCCCTTCCTTTCGGAAACTTCACAGGCCCCGCACTCTCAGCAGATCCAGGCCCCTTCACAGCGTCGAGGAAGACAGTGACCACACCTTTCGAAAGCCTCGACCTGAGACGATGCCCCTGGGCAGCTGCCCAACAACAACATGTCTCCACGAGAGTGGACACAGGAGCGGCACCCTGCCCTGGCCATGCATCAACGGCCTGCACCTCACGGCATGGGAAGGAGCCCCCCGGCACCCTCCACTCCCCTGCCACACTGGCCGCCGATGCCCTCCGACGCTGGCAGGGACGGCAGTGGACGGTGTATCGCGGCCAGGCGTACGACCTGGCACCCTGGTTCGGCCGTCACCCGGGCGGCGGCTGGCTGGCGAGGCTGGCCGTCCACAGGGACTGCACCGCCCTGCTGGAGTCCAACCACGTCCGCGTGGACAGGGCGGCGGCGGCCCTGGAGTCCCTGCCTCGCCTGCCCGACTTCCCGGCCTGGGCCGTGCCGGTGACGCCCCGCCCGCTTGATTCCCCCTTTCTTTCCGCCGTGCGGGCTCGTGTGCGGCGCGAGGTGCTTCAGCCCCTCGGGGCAGAGGCGGCGGGGGGCGGCCCGGGCCCAGGCCGGTCCCTCTTTCTTCCCGGTGCGGAAGAGAGCCTGGTGGCAGCGGGCGCGGCGCTGCTGGCCGCGGCCGGCGCCTACGCCTGGCACTGCCGCGCCTGCTCGCTGGCCTCCGGCTGCCTGCTGGGCATGGCGGGGGCCTGGGTGGGCACGGCGGTGCAGCACGGCGGCAACCACGGCTCCATGAGCCGACGTCCCGGGATCAACCTGGCGGCGGGGGCGGCGGCAGACCTCATCGGCGGCGCCTCCGTCGCCTGGAGGTCCGTCGAGGGTGGCGGCCTGGCCCTGCCCTGCGGGCCAGGCATGGGGCGGCGTGGATGATGGGGTTTTGTCCCTGGTGACGCGTCCCCGGCGACGGCATCGTGTGAGGATGTCAATCCCGCCACCCTGGACCAACCCAGCTGCCATTCCCCCCACTGCAGGTACCACCACCAGGTGTCCCACCACGTGCACTGCAACGACGCTGAGCTGGACGAGGACGTGGTCAGCGCGTACCCCCTGCTCCGCTTCGACGCAAGGCTGCCGCGGCGCTGGTTTCATGCCTACCAGCACATCTACATGGTGAGCTTGGTCACGGAACACTGCCTGCAGCATGTGCTGGCAGGACTGCGGTCAGGGGCGGGGGTGGGGGGTGGCAGGGGTGGCTTCGTGCACCGCCTACATTGGCCCTGCATGGTACCGTCCTCCACCCACCACCTGACATGCACCGACTCGCGCTCACCGTGTGGTCCCTCTGTCCACCTCAATCACTCCAGTTCCCTTCACCCTGCCCACCCTCAGTGGGGCGTATTTGCCCTGCTCCAGCTGGCCTTCCAGACGGGCGACGTCGCCACCCTGCTGGCCCGGCGTATGCCTGGGAGGCCTCTGGCAGGCGCGGCAGCCTGGGAGCTGGCTGGCGCCTGGGCGGGCAAGGCGCTGTACTGGGCCCTGCTCCTCGCGATCCCAGCCCGCCTGCAGGGCTGGGGCGCAGCCGCGGCCGGCGCCGCCGCCTGCATGGCGGTCCAGGGCCTGACCCTGGCCGTCCTGCTCGGCGTGTCGCACAACGTGGCCGCCACCAAGAGAGACTCGACCCAGGGCGCTGGGGCGGGCGAGGACGCATCGGACTGGGGCCTGCGCCAGCTGGCGACGTCCGCGGACTGGGGCGGGCGCCGGGCCTGCCTGCTGACGGGAGGCCTGAACCTGCAGGTGGCGCACCACCTCTTCCCCACCCTGCCGTCGGCCCTGTACCCGGCCATCACCGCCATCGTGCGGGAGGAGGCGGCGGCGAGGGGCTTGCCCTACGTGCACTGGACCTCCCTGCCGGCCATCATGGCGCACCTGGTGGCGTTCATGCGCGAGGTGGGCGTCGCGGAGCAAACCCCGGCGCCGAAGCGGGCCCCGGCCTGAGCGACCGCTGCCAAAGCAGGGGCCGGGAACTGGAGGCTGCGATCGACACAGGGCATGGCACTAGATGGGCACCTGCCAGGGTCTGTATAGGTCCTGGACGCGCTGCGTCGCCTCAAACTCCCTCTGACTGGGCGAAAAGTGGCACATGGTACACGATGTGATGGTGCACGACACCAGCGGGAGCCGCTCAGTCAGGAAAGGGTTGGTGGTAGTAGGAGGACAGGACGGTGTGGGAGCCCTGCGCGCGCGCGCGATCAGGGAGCGCGGGACTGCGATGCGCAGGGCCGAGGACTTTGGGAGAGCGAGTCGAGGGTCAGGTAGGGAGCTAGGATCCAGCACCCGGCGCCCAGCCATTCACGGCCTCGCGCCGGCCAGCGGGTCGCGCGCCGGGGCAGCTTCCGCCCAGGGCGCCGTCGACTTGGACGACGGCGTCTCACCCGACCCCGCGCCGCCGCCGCAGGCAATGAGGCGCGCCAGCACGGCCGAGCGGTAGCGCAGCACGCGCGCGCGGTCGCCGCGCTCGAGCGCCACCGGCGGCTGCAGGTCGGCCAGGCGCGGCGCGTGCGGCGCGCCCTCCCCGCCCTCCACGTCGGCCAGGGCGAGGAAGCTCAGCGAGTGCAGAGCGCGCGCGTACAGCTCGCCGCCCCCGCCGCCCCCGCCGCCCACCAGCTCACGCACCGCACCCTCCCGCGCCCAGGCCAGCGCGCCGGCGAACAGCGCGGCCCAGGGGTCGGGCAGCGCGGGCGAGGGGCCCGTCTCGGGCATCCCATCGGGGGACAGAGCGCTGGCTCCGTGCGACGAGGGGTCCCTCGGTGCCGCGGCCGCGCCCTCCGGCGCGGCCGCCGCTCGGCCTGCGCCCTCCAGCGCGGCCGCCGCTCGGCCTGCGCCCTCCAGCGCCGCCCGGATCTCGGTGCCCAGGCTGGTGCAGGGCAGGCCATCCAGGTGGCTGTCCGGCGACCGCGGCGAGCGTGGGCGGGGTGGGTGGGACGGTCCATCACCTCCCAACTCCACCTCGTCCTCGTCCTGCCCGCCGCCGGCCGCTGCGTCCAGCAGCTGGAGTGCGGCCAGGTGCAGGCTCAGCGCGGCACCTGGGTCGAAGGCGGCCGCCCCCGCCGCGCTGCGGCCGCCCTCCGCGTCGCGCGCCAGCGCGCACAGCAGGCCAGCCACCTGGCGCCAGAGGCGGCGCGCCGGGCCCGGCCCCCGCCAGGTCGCCCAGCCCGGGTCGTCGCCTGGCGGGCCGGCGCCGGGCGACGCCCGCCCCGCAAACGCGTGCCCGCTCAGGCTGTCTGACGACGCGTCGTTGTCCGAGTCGGGGCCAGATGGCGTCTCGCGCCCGTCCTCGTCACTGGGAGGCGGCCTCGCTTCGGCGCGCTGCGGCACCAGGCTGGGATCGCCAGGCTCAGCCTCCCTCGGTCGCACCGAGACGGGCTCCAGGCCCAGTGCGACATCGCCCCCGCCCGAACGCGCGCCGCGCGGCGCGCGCTCGGGCGAGGGCAGCGCCGACACCAGCACAAAACCTTCTTCGGAAGTCTGAGAGGAAGCCCCCGACTGCACGTCGCTCGTGGGCTCCGGCGCCAGCGGGTGCCGCGCCACGCTGCGGCGGACCTCCTGGGGCGCCGGCGATTCGGTCCTGCGGCCCGGTCCGGGGACCAGAGGGACGTGGCCCAGGCCTGTGCGGACCGGCGCAGACCCGGCCGCCGCCCAGCCCGGCAGGACCGGGGGCGACGGGGGCACCGCGCCGCCCGGCGGCGCGGCGTCGCGGGGCGCCGGGGCGCCGCGCGCCGCGACGACAGCCCCCTCACGTGCGGCGTCCAGCGAGGCGCGCGAGCGCAGCGCGTGGCTCAGCGCGCCCAGCGGCACCGCAGCGTGCACGGCGGCTGCGTTCGTCCCCGGCGCCGTCAGGCCGGGGCCATCGAACCCCACAACCTGCTGCCCGAAGCCGGCGGCGGAGCGAGAGCGGGGCATGGGCTGGGGCCCGCGCCCCGCGATCCCGGAGTGCAGCACGTAGGGCGGCGTGGAGGCGAAATCCGCGCGGCTGGTGGTGGCGGCCCAGGTGGAGGGGGGGGGGGCCGGGTCGCGCGCGCCGGGGGCCCCCAGCGGCGCGAGCGACAGGAAGGGGTGCCGGAAGAACTCCTCGAAGGAGATGCGCTCCACGGGGTTGGGGCGCAGCAGCGCGGCGATCAGCGCGCGGCAGGGCGCCGACAGCGCGGCAGCGGCGCCCTCCGGTAGCCGCGCGGGCGCGCGCTGGATGCTGCGCAGCAGCTGCAGCTGGTTGGCGCCGGTGAAGGGCGGGCGCCCGCCCACCATCTCAAACAGGATGGCCCCCACGCTCCACAGGTCCGCCTTGGCGTCGTACTTGTGGGAACCCAGGATCTCGGGCGCCATGTAGAGAGGGGACCCGCACAGAGTCTCCGCCAGGCCCTGTGGGGATGGGTAGGAGGGTGTTGATGAGAGGTGGAGGAGGACTCAGCTGGAGATGCCAATCACAACACCCCCATGCTCGTGGATGCCACAGTGCATGGGCATGCATAATGATGGCAACGTCGAGGCGCAGGCGCATTGCTTGCATGCCCCGGTCACACACTCGTTCCTCCCCTCCAGTTTCATCCTGTCCCCTCTTCCATCCATCCCCACCTGGGGCTGCAGGTTGCGCGCAAACCCAAAGTCGGCGATGCGGAGATCGGCCTCCGGGGAGGAGCGGGAGAGCAGCAGATTCTGGGGCTTGAGATCACGCTGCAGCGGTGGGGTGAAGAGAGGGTTGGGGAGGGGGTGGAGCCAGCTCACGAGGCTGCCCCACTTGCCATCACGGGCTGTGGGGTGGCAGCATCCACGCCGAACGGATTCTGGCCGGGGCGGCCCCTTTCATGCACAGCCCGCACGCCAATGGCAACACCTGGAGCCATCCAAGCACCCCCACCCGGGCCTCGCCCTCACATGGACGAGGTGGTGCGCCCACATCTCCCGCAGCCCCGCCGCCAGCTGGCGGAGGAAGTGGCGCGCCGTCGCCTCCGGCAACACCCTGCCGTGGCGCAGGAACTGGGACAGGTCACCGCCGGCGCAAAACTCCATCACCAGATACAGCCGGCTGCGAGTCTGCTTGGAGGTGGGGATCCGGGGGGGTGAGGGGTTGGGCCTCATGCAGGCTTAAGGAAAGGGCCGTGAGGCAGCCGTCATGCCCGGGTCGGTCCAAGCCCCTGGGTTGGCCATGCTGAGGTAAACCCCACCGACCGCCCGGCTTTCACTCCCGGCACAGTCAGAGCCCAGCTCCGGCAGGAGCCTCAAATCAGGCATGCGAGACGACAAACAGCTTCTGGCCCCGAGCCCCTAAACCCCTCCCACCTCTATGACGTCCAAGAGCCGGACGATGTTTGCGTGCTTTATTCGCCGGAGGATGGTGACCTCGCTCTCCAGGCTGGAACGCAATTTGGCGTTCAGTCTGGAGAGGTTGATCTCCTTTATGGCAGCATCCTGGCCCGTCAGCCGGTGCCGGCCTCGCCACACTATGGCGAAGGAGCCAGAGCCGACGTGAGCACCAACCTCCCAGTCGCCGACCAGGCGTGGGCCCGAGATCTCCATGCGCAGCGCCCCTGCTGTCTATGTATGGGGCCTACGGAGCATGACGAGGGTGCGCGGAGGACAGGGGCCGGAGCCCGGCAGGTATCGGGAGTCAAAAGCGTGTATCGAGGGTTTCACCTGATCAACAGAAAACCCGGGGCCAGGCGGTGGCAGGCTACTCGTGCTGAGTTCGACTGGGAGAAGGGTCTGCTGAGCCTCGCATGGAAGCGCCCTTGGCGTCTTTTCACTGCATGGGGTCCCGAGGCAGAATCCCCGTCATCGGCGGTGGGGCACGACGCTGACGGTGGCACTCGAAAGCTATGAAGAAAATCTTGCAGGGGTCTACAAGCCCTACAACATCGGGATCAGGTCACTCTTCATGCCTGCCAATAGTAATAAGAGGCCGAATACCTTGTCACGCAAAGAATTGTCAAGTCCTCACACAGCCATCTGCATGTGGGTAGGGAGCGTTCACTGAGAAGACACAAAACGGTCATGGTCCGGCTTGGGCGCATGCACCAGGCCGCCAGAGCTTCATGCAGTCCTCCCCCATGACTGACATGTCGTCTCACCGAGGGGACCGCTTGGTCTGGGGTCAAGAGCTTTGCTGCAGCGTCCTCGCGGGGATGTGGAGGGTCTGGCATACCAAAGCAATCACACCCTCCCTACGCCCTCTACAATGACATGCGCCCGTCTCGGCGTCACCGCCTCCCGCCTCTCTTGGCACTCGGGGGCGGGGGCCTGCTCACGCGCATGACGCCCGCCCTGAAGCTGCCGCCGTCCTCCTGCAGGCCCTGGTCCCGTGGTCTTGCTGCGCTGGACTCACGCCGCCGTTTCTTTGCCAGGCTCCGGACGCTCAGCATGCCGGCGGCGATGGCTTCCTCGGTGGCCCGAGCCTCCCGCTGCGCCCGCTTTCTTGCCATGCCTGGGCAGGGTGGGTGGGGGGGGGGGCGTGCCTGATGAGGCCCCCCGGAGCTCATGGTGGATGACAGGGCGCGGCCTGCTGGTCCCCGGCCTGGTGAAGGCACAGCTCCCCGCCCAGCCTAGCCCTGGCGAAGCAGAAGTCCTCCCTCACCAATGCCGATGCTGGCTGGTATCCGTGGCCCCTTTTCTGCCTTGGCACCCAGGCGGACGAGCGAAACAGCTTCATACTGCTTGCGTGCCTTCTTGTCCAGCCCAGTGGCACCTGTTCGACAGACATGTTGGGGGTGGCAGAGGTGGACAGGTGAGGCAAGGGATGCACGTGCATCGTGTGGGGAAGGCTGCAGCCCGCAGTGCAGGTATTTCGTAGGTCAAAGTTCAAGCTGAGTGGAAGCTGATGAGGATGTGACGAGCACTGGAGGCAACCAAGATGTGGGGGCGGGAGTGGGGAGCTCGCCGGTCCAGATCCCACATGGGATGCAGGCGGCGGCTCCGCTCCGTGATCCGGCTGTACTATGGTCTCGCACTTTCGTCGCTGTGCAGGAAGGGCCGCAGGGGGAGGCCAGGCAAAGGACTTGCCACAGGCACGAGAAAGCCATGCTGCGGGGGTTGGGGAACCACGGCACGTGGGGAGGGCCCCGCGCGCCATGTGTCCCCCAACTGCCCCGGCTTTTCCCCACAAAAACCGCGGCCCTGCCCGATGGAAGTGCCATGCAGCAAAGGGACGACAAAATCTCTGGTCCCAAGCGGCAGGTACCAGCCCTCCACCGCGCCACGCTCCACCCACCCAGCTCGAGGACGTCGCGCTGAATCTGGGCAAACTCGGCCCTGCTGCGTGGGTCCACAGCTGATTCGGCGCCAGGCTCCCTGCGCTGGGTGCCCGGCTGTGGGGTATTTCGCGGACCCCCGATCCTCCCAGACATGAAGGCCCTGCGCTCTGCCTTGTACCGCTCCCTGTCCTCTACGAAGGGCCGCGGGGGGGCGGCCTTGACCTGGGGCTGGCGTGGTGTTGGGAGAACCTTGTCCGCTGCGCCGGTCCATCGCTGCGGCGCTTCGTCCTCTCCAGACTCTGATTCACTGGTGGAGGGAGTGTCCTGCTCACTACTCGGCGATCCTGCCTCCTGGTCGGCGATGGCAGGCCGCTCCTCGGCGTCGTCGAACATCGCCAGGAACCGGTCGCCTGCTAGGTACGATTGGAGCATGATACATTCTGGAGTTGGAGCAATCATGATGCATGCATTGAGCGAATGTACTTGCACTGACCGTACCGTGAGACTTGAGCAGCGCATGGACGTCACCATCCATTTTGTCAAGCCGTGCCACCCCGTGGGCACTTTGAGGCCCCCGCAAAACAAGCTACCTAACACAAATCTAATTGCCACATGATGTTGGTATGCTAAGAATGAGGCAATCGTCCCGTTTACCGCCTGCAACTCGTGCTGGGCTCCCTCTCCGCAGTCGGGAAGGGCACGGCAGGTGTCGACCCCGGATCCGCGACTATTTGGATCCGCTGCCAGCACCCGACAGCTGCATGGTACACATCGTGTCGGCCAACCTCTAGAAACCCAGGGTGCCATAAATCGACCTTGAAATTATCGTAAGTACCCAAGCCGCTGCATTCAACGTAAATCCGAGAGGAATCGTCGACCTTTGGCTCGGATACGGGAGGGATGGCAGCCAAGAGATCTGCCACAGCCATGCCTGCGGGCAAGGAAAAGCTCCACAAAACCAGCACAGTCGCCCTCAAGAAGGCGCCTGCTGCAGTCACGGGAAAGACAGCAGCCAAGACCGCGCGCAAGGCTCCCACCAAGCCCGCCCCCTCCAAGGTGCCCCACCAAGGCAGGGATTGGCGCCACGTGATATGAACAGGTCAACGACCATTTCCTCACCTTCGTCGCCGACCTAGCCCCATTCAACCCCCAATCGTGTCCCCTGCAGACCAAGCCAGTCCCAACACTTGCTGACCCGGCCCCTCCGGAGGTGAAGCCCGTTGCCGCCAAGAGTGCTGCGAGGACCACCAGGACCCCTTCCAAGAGGAAGGCTGCCGCTACCAAGGCAGCGCCAGCAGCCAAGCCTGCCGCCAAGCGCATTAAGACCAGTGCTGCCGCCAAGCCGATCCCTGTCACCAAGACGCATACGAAGCGGGCTGCCAGCGCAAAGAAGCCGGCAGCGAAGCCAGTCGCTCCCGCTCCGCCATCTGAGGCGATTGCACCCGTCAAGAAGACCCCTGTAGCCGCAGCAAAGAAGAAGGCAGCAGCCCGCAAACCTGCAGTGGCGAAGAAGGCGACAACCGCTTCCAAGACCGGACCCAAAACCACGGCCACGAAGAAAGGAGCGAGTGCTACAAAGCCTGAAGCCAAGCCTGCCTCCCTCAAGAAGTCGACTCCCAAGGTGAGAGGTGCTAGGGCCCTGATTTTCAAGTCTGGGGCTTCCCGCCTGGACTTTCTAGTGCTGTGCTCCAGATGGTGCCTAGACGAATGCCCCCGGCATGATTCAGGCCGCCTTGCCCTGCATTGTTCATCAGCCGCACAGATCATCCAGCACTCCTCACCATACCACCGTGCCACTTCCAACTCATGGCAGGATATTGCCAAGGAGACGAAGACCCCTGGCAAGAGCGTGATTGCCAGCCTGGTGGATGTCGCCAGTACTTTCGCGGGTGCTGTCAAACGGCGGCTCAGCATTGCAGGCACCGCGGAGTGAATCTTTGACAGGGCCTCCTAGCTCAATGACCATGCTGGCCCACCCCGATAAACATGGCTCCTGACTGACCGCACCCTTACCTCTACAGAGCAGCCGAGGGCGCTGAGACTGTGCCCTGGTCTGGTGCATCTGACCCTCCATTGCATTGCTTTCACTGGTGCTTGACACCTCAAAGACTGCTCTCCACATGCTCTACGCACACCTCTGACTCATATTGTAACGTACAATAGTGGTGAAAAAGTAATAGTTTGTGAGGCATCGATCAAAGGTGCTGGGTGGACGGTTCGAATGTGGGGAGATGGACCGAGGTTAGGATTCTCGTGAACGGCGGCCCCAACACATCGGGCAAGATCTCCAATCGCGCTCGCGACAGGCTGCACTGTAGACACACTCGTGCTGTCCCACCCGACTGACATTCAGAGCCACACGATGCACTCCTGATCGGATTCCTAGGGAATGGGCATGGGAACCTCGTGCCCAACGACACCTCGCCTCACCAGCCCAGCGGCACAACAGCCATGCAGGAGGGCGACCCCTCGCACATGCTCAGCACGACTTTCCCGTGGACCTAATCAGCAAGGGGAAGTAATTTCGCGACCATGCACGGCTGCCACGTCACGACGAGCCCTCCTGTGCATGGGTGGCGCTGCAGGTGCAGCGTCCATGATCCCGCCTCCCCCCGCCCTTGCGGGCCCTTCCAGCAGTCTGGCTCTTCGGGAGTACAAGGTGTGCGTGCCAGGAGAGCTTGCGAAATGTATTCAAGGAGCAGTCCTCGTCTCCAGGAGAAACCAGTGCCGCCCTAGCCAGGGCATCCCCAGTGTGTACAACACTCCTCAGCCTGCCTCCCCCGCCAGCCCCAACCTCTGTCGTCCTACTGCCCCCTGCAGCCCCTGAGGCCACCCACCCCCGGACCCCCCACAGATGGTACTGCGGGTTTTGGCCCCGCAGACCCTCGTCCCGGGGGACTGGGTCTCTGACTTCAGCGCAGCCATGGAGGGGATGGGCGTGGTGGCGCTGAAGCCCATGAAGGGCTACAAGGAGGTGTGGGACGAGCTCGCCGGCACGCAGGCCAAGGGCCGAAAGGTGTCGACGAATGTGGACTGCGTCGGTCTGCCTGACACCTGGCTCCAGCCCGCCATCGCTCGGGGCTTGCTGCAACCAATCCCAGCCGCACGCCGCCACCGTTGGTGGGTGAGTCCCTTGGAGAACCCTGGGCGGGGGAAGGCGGCAGCAGTGCCATGCACGGAGCATCAATTCTTAGTCTTACCGTGCGGCGGGCTGTACTCTATCACCACCATCGACACACAATTGCAGAGCCTGCTGTCTGCAGACTGGCGCCGATTGGTCACTCGGGACGATGCAGGGCTGCAGTCGCCGTACGGCGAGGTGTATGCCTGCCCCAGCTCTTGGGGGACCCTGCTCATGGCCAGCCACGGGCCTCGGCTCCGAAGGTAGGGTTACGCGGGGCGCTGCATCGCATGCGTGATTTCCCATGGGGCCGGGGGGGAAGCGTCAGTAGGGAGGGCCGCTCGCCTATGGGTCGTCCTTTTTCCAAGAGTGTGGTAGCCACCCAAAGGAGACCACAGGAGCTTTGTGTATCGTGAGCAGCCTTCCTCCTGGATACCTACATCTCCCAGCCTCCATCCTGCCCCCCCTCCCCCCTCGCCCTCACCCATTTGCAGAAAGGGCCTCCAGCCACCGCGTGACTGGGGTGACCTCCTGGACCCAGCGCTGGGGGGCAGGATAGCCCTGGACGACAGCCCCCGCGTGCTCCTTGCCGCCGCGCTGGGCACGTCGGGCCTTGACCCCGGCGCCACCGCCGCTGACGTCGCCCGGTGCGGCGTCCGCGCCGGCGACCTGAGGGCGCGCGTGCGCCGCCTGCGCGCGGCAACACGCGTTTTTGGAAAGGACGGCGCGCACGTGCGCGCGCTGGAGGGCGGGGACGTGGATGTGGCGGTGGGGTGGGGCGACGCGCTCGTGGGCACGGCGCAGCGCAGCACCGGGGTCGTGCTCTCCGCGCCCGCCTCGGGCACGCTGCTCTGGGCCGACCTGTGGGCGGTACCGCGGGGGGCGCAGGGCGGGTGAGGCGGCGGGGGTCCATAGGGCATTTCTGTTGCAGAGGTGATGCACGCGTGCTTGCCTGGTAGAGACTCACCGCTGCATCCTCTCGTGTGGCGCCAGGGATGGTGGGCCCTCCGCCGTGGATCACAACACATCACCGGTCCCTTCTTGCCCTGGGAAAGGCGTCGCCATGCATTCCCACTTCCCCCTGACACCACCGATCCGATCCATTTCATATCATCCTCCCCATGCCGCAGGGCGACGGATGGCCAGCCCAGCCCCTTGCTCCCCGCCTGGCTCGAGCTGGGCCTGCAGCCCAGCCGGCAGCGCCGACCGAGCGTGGGCGCAGCCTCCCCACTGCTGCTGCCGCCCCTGCTGGGAGGAGGTCAAGCCGTCCCCGACTGTGATCTGCTCAGTGACAATGCAGAGGGTGCAAGTATGGCCGCGAGGCACGTGCTCCGACCGCACCAGCTTCCACCGACCAGGGTACTCCAGCGCAGCCGATTCCTGACGCCCCTGGACCCCGCGACGGAGGAGCTGTTCCAGGAATGCCTTGTGGATATGGACCAGGAAAGCGTCCTGGTGTAAGATTACCTTCGTATATCCCCCTCAGAGCTGAAGGGCTGTGCCTGAGACCGGCTGGGGAGAACGGGATGACAGGGATTTGGCCTCCAGAGCGCTCGCGCCCGGGCTCGACAGCTTTCGTCTTGAAGTACTCTTTCGAGGACTGGTACGACATTATACATCCCTCCTACAACTGTCCACGTTAGCTATGACTCCGTAAAATCCAGGCTGAGACTCGCGGTACTCGGCGGCTCCCAAACTCCGGGAGCCCCATGGGCTCGTTCTTCTACGACGACCTCGCTGCCGCCCGTGGTCACCTCCCCCTTCCCGCACGCACCTTCGAACCCGATGCAGGGTCTCAAATCTCCAAAGCCGTCTTGTACAAGGTCCTGGCCGCCTCCCGCCTCGCGCAGGTGCGAGTGGCCGCTGAAGAGGGTCTGCTACCTGACCAGGATGGGCTTCTGAGCCTGGCCTACTTCCAGAAAGGCGTGCGACCGATTGTCGACCAGGAGGCGGCCCAGGAAGCCTCGCAATATGCAGTCATGACCGAAGCTGGGGCCCTGCCGGGCGTGGAGGAGGCTCAGGCCCCACCGACAGCAGACGAGCCAAACGACCCCTCGCCCGACTCCGGGGTCGCGCTCGCGCATGCCCAGGACCTGGAGCGCAGGGCGCAGCACGAGGAGGCGCAGCGGACCAGGGATGCGGAGGCGGAGGAGGCCCGGCGGGCGTGGCAGGCCTCCATTGACGAGGTCAGCGCCGACCTGGCCCAGGCCGAGGCCGGGGCCGCGGCCGCGGAGGCGGAGGCCGCCGCCGCCGCCGAGCGGCTGGAGGCCCTCACCGCCGCCAAGCACCAGCTGGTGCTGGACCTGAAGAAGGTGCGGAGTGGTGTGAATGCAGGAGTTCCACACCGGCTGGTTCACCGAATGGGTTTGTCCGGAAGAATGACGGGGGCACCCTTGGGACACCCCCCTCTGGGTGGTTGGGCAGTGCAGTGTGCCCCCCCACCCTCCAGGCTGGTATCACGGCCCGGGCCCTCGCATTCCAAGCCACGTGCACTGAGTCGATCCCCCGACCCACCCGTGCCGCGTCAGGCGCTGAAGGAGGAGGAGGCCGCCAAGCGTGCGGCTGCGGAGCGTGAAGAGGGCGAGATGTCGGTGGCGGCGGGGGCGGGTTTGGCCACGCAGCCGCTGTCGCCGCGCTCGACTGCGCCGCCCCGGCCCTCGCGCTGGTCCTTCCAGCCCTCGGCGGCGCCCGCCTTCCCGTTGGGGCTGGGCCCGCCCTCGGTCCGCGAGCCCGAGCCCTGGGGCCGAGCCCCGCCGCCGCCGACATCTCGTGCCCTCGGTTGGCCAGCGGTGGGTCCAGGGTGGGGCACCCCCGCCCGTCCCGAGTCCAGCCGCCCCGACCTGAACCGCCCCGACTCCTCCCGCCCAGAGCCCGGCTGGGCCGCGCATGGGCCCCCACCCGCAGGCATGGCATACCCCATCGGCACGCCGGAGGGCGCGCCCCCGCCGGCGCACGAGCCGCACGCCGCCCGATTCCGACCGCCCAGCCCGCCGCACCGCCTGCCAACGTTCGAGGAGCGCGAGGCCATGCGCCAGGCCCAGCGCGCACAGCAGGCCCCGGCGCGAGGGGAGAGACCCGAGGAGGGCGAGGGGCACAGGGGTCGGCGGGGGGGCGGGCTGCGCCATGCTTGGAGCGGGGGCGGACCCCCGGCCCCACACCACCCTCGGTGGTAAAGTATGGAAAGGGATTCAGTGGACGGTAAAAGAGGTGACACGCGTGGCCCCCTTTTCCCCAGCTCTTGTACCATTCGAGTTGTATGACTGACGCCGCGCAAGCAGGGCATGACTCCTGCCCGCCCTCGTCGGGGCCCGCTGCTTTCAAGGTTCCGCGACCCTCAATTGCTGCGTGAGTCCAAGCAACAGGTGTGCCATGCCAGGGCAGTTTGCTTACACCGCAGTTCAAGCGCTCAGTCACAGGGCGGGTTGGGGGGTGGGTCAAAAGGGCGAGCAGGGAGGCAGCGTGCCCCTGGGCGGGGAGATCAGGGGTTGCATTCTGCCGCCCCGAGCGTGGTCTTGGGCAATGAGGAAGGTCAGGGTCACGGGTCGTCATGGGTCAGGCGGAGCGTGCGGGGGTGTCGCCGCAGGCGCCGCGTTCCTCCTCCCTACAGATCGGGCAGCGCCAGCGCGGCCAGCTCCAGCAGGTCGGTCGGCAGCGGCTGGCTCGCGCCGCGCGGGCCGGGCAGCGCCGGCAGCGGCCCCTCTGCGCCATAGGGGCTGGGCAGCGTCAGTGCTCCCCCTCGGCCGCCGCGTGCCGACTCGGGGCCGTGCAGCTGGTCGATGTCCGGCTCGAAGGCTGCGTTGAGCCAGTCCGTGGAGCCGCTGGCGGTGCGCAACGCGGCGGTCCAGGCGGCGGTCGCCAGGCTCTGCCGCGCCGCCGGCGCGGGGTCGGCGGCGTTTGGCTGCTGCGGCGCGAGGGGCTGGCGCGGGGAGGGCGCCGGCTTCCCGGATGGGGCCCGTGCCGAGGGCGGGCCGGGGGCAGGTCTGGCGCTCGCCAGGTCGATCTTGGGGCTGGGGACGGCCAGGGGGTTTTGCTGCCACTGGACAGCGGCCGCAGGCGGAGCGTCTGCATGGGGAGGCGGCGGTGGGGTGGGTCCGTGGAGCACGGGGCGAGGGGCAGGACGTGAGGGCGCGAGAGTCTTGCCGGGGGCCGTCTCGCCACACGGCGCGGGGCTGCACCCTGGCGCTGAGCCCCAGGCCCCAAGCTCGACGTCGTCCCCCCCTACCCCTCTTCCGGGGCCCTCACCGGGCGTGGAGAGGTCGATGAGGGGCAGCGACTTGCGGCGCGGGGTGGTCAAAGGCGCCGGCGGGGCCTTCCATGCCGCCAGGTCTCCGGCGAAGAAGTCTGCCGAGGCGGCCACCGCGTCGCTCGGCGCCCTGGTCGCGGCAGCGTCGCGCGGCGCCGCCTCCTCGCCACGGCCGGCACCTTGGGCAGGGGACTCCGCCAGGCTGGGCCAGCCCGCCCCGTGCGCATGCGCCGTTCCTCCCGGCAGGAGACTCCCGCCGCGGACGTCGCCACCCGTGCCCGACCCGCGGCCGCCCCACGAGCGGCTCAGGCGGTACTCTGCCAGCTCCCGCTCGATGGCCGCGATCTCCTCGTCGAGCGGCGGCCGGCGCTGGGCGGGCGGGGTGCCCGGTCGGCCCACGTTCCGCGCCGTCACTTCCTCGGCCCCCCGCGGCCCACGGGGCTGGGTCGGCGGGCTGCAGGGCCCCCGCCGAGCCACCTGGGGCCAGCGCAAGGGGGGCGGCTCCTGCGCCGCGGGGCCCGGCGCCGCCTCCTCGGCCAGGGAGGAGGCCGCGCTGGCGGCCCGGCCCCGCCCCTCCCCGCCGCCTCCATTGCCGAGCCGGCCGCGGTCTGTGGCCTCGTACAGGCCCTCCCGCGACAGCCTTATGGGCGGGCGGCGCCGGGTGGGGGACGGCCTGGCGCCCTGGGCATGCCGAGCGTGCTCCTGCGCCGCGGCGGCCGCCGCCACCGAGGCCTGCTGGTCCATGGCGCGGATGTGTGCCTGCAGGTCCTCCACCTGTAGAGGAGGGTACCGGGTGGTAGTGGCAGGGTGAGCAGGTGCTGGGAGGCTGGGTGGAGGAGCCGCCCATGCCGATGCTGGCCACTCCTGGAGGGCGAGCGGGATTGCACCAAGCATCTGCTGCTCATTACTTTGTGTCCAAGGGCACAGGACGGGGCGTCAACCCTCCCTCCCATCCACCAACACAACCCTCCACGAGGCACCCCAACCTGGCGTCGTGCGGCGCGGCAGGCGGCCCGCTCCATCTTGGCCGACTTCTCCAGCTCCTGGCAGCGCAGGCGCAGGCCATCCGTCTCCTCGCGCTGCGCGGCCGACAGGCGGTGGGAGATGTGGCCAATGGCGCCCCGCCGCTCCGCTGGCTGCGCCGCCAGTTGGCCCCTGCGCTCCCTTAGCTCGGCCTCGAGGGACTGGCACCGCGCCCGGGCGGCGACCAGCGCCGCCTCCGCCTCCGACAGGTGTGCGCGCGCGTCCTGCGCCGCGCCGCGTTCCGACTCGAGGCTGGAGGAAAGCGCGGCGTTGGTCAACGCCAGGTCGTCCACTTTCGCGCGCAGGTGCCCCGCCTCCTCCTGGATCTGCAGTGGATTTGTTTTTGGGGTGTGGTGCAGAGGATTGGCCTCAGCAAGAAGAAGGTGCTAGGCTTGACAAGCAGGGGTCCCCTGGTGTTGAGCAGCGTGCGTTGGTCTTTGACGCAGCTTGATGGGTACTCCACCTCCTCCATAAATGCACGAAGAGAACATCAACCCAGCCGGGCTTTGCCGCACATCCCCCTCACCTCGGCTACCGCCTTGAGCAGAGAGCTGCCTATCTGCGACCCTGCGCAGCGGGTGAGCTGCTGCGCAGCGACCTCCAGGGCCCGGCGCAGCGCGAGGACCTCATGCGTGGGGCCCCTCGCCTGCTCGGGCGAGGCAGGGTATGAGGAGGGCCGTGCGTCGCCGGAGCCCCGCAGCCGCCCGTCCTCCGGGGCCCTGGCCTCCCTGTGCACCCTGCGGTCGGCCTTGGCGGCGGCTTCCAGCCGCTGAATGGTCGACGCCTGCTTGCCCAGCTGGGCCCGAGCTTCCTCCAGCTGCTGCTGCACCTGGCGGGCCTGGGACCTCAGCACACCAATTTCCCGGTCCTTCTCGTCCTTCTCTCCACGGAGGCGGAAGGTCATGGCCCGGAGCTCGGCCAGCTGGACCTCCTGACGCTCCCGCACGGCATGCAGGGCCTGTTGGGGCATGCAGGCATGGTGGCGGTTAATCCTCACGGGATTTGCCCAGGGCCGGGCGTCGCGGAAGGCCAGGATCTGGGGATCGGGCAGCTTTAACATGCATTTCTAGCATCCAAAAATCAGGGACGGCTTGCCTGGAGCTTTTTAGTGAGGGCTGTCACATCATTGTGGAGGCGGGTTTCCTCCGGTAAGGAGATGGTCGCATACCGGTGCCTCCAGTATGTGCGCTGAAAAGGGGAAGGGTTGGAGGGGTAATCACAAACATGCGATCTTAGATCCATTGTTGCCCGAGTCTTTCCGGTGATCGCCAAGGCAAGCACGCCCGATCCAGCAGCTCACCTTTGGGGAGGCGTCGGGTGAGGCCCCCCGCTCTCCAGTCCTCTCGCTGAAGAAGTCGCTGCTGGATTCCATGCTGCCGAGCTGCGTCACGACATCTTAGCTGAGTTTCTGGGGCGTGGACAGCGTGGATCTGGGGTGTAGCTGCGCACCCTTCGAGCCCGAGCTGTTGGCGATGCAATTCGGATGATGCTGCAGGTCGAACGCAGCCCGCGCCGCACGCGTGCCGGGTTTGTTACCCGGGCCCGCATTCCCCCAGCAACACCAGATCCGGAGAGACTAGGAGCTTATATCTCTTCAAACCCCTTGGACTTCGAGTCTTTCAGAATCATCATTGCGGTTGTTGATGAAAGTATGCTCCCTTCATGCTTGATAACAAGCGGATCCCAGCCCTGCCCCCGCCTACTTCCCCTCAGCGGCCTCGTCCGCTCGCTGCCGCTTGGCCGGCGGCCCGGCCTCCGCGCTGCCCACACCGCCCTCCCCCATGCGCGCGGTGGACTGGACGTGCTGCAGGGCCTGTGCATTGGCGGGGCCGGGACTGCCCTCGGCTCCCCCGGCCCCCGTGGTGGCCTGCGTCGTCGCCGCGTCGTCGTCGGTGGCCAGGTTCTGGCCCAGCTCCTCCTCCTCCGTGTCGTCCCCAGCGATGGTCACCGCGTCCTCCTCCAGCCCCGCCAGGTCGGCATCGGAGGGGGAGGCCGCCAGGCGCGCCGCGCGCCGCGCCTCCGCCTCTGCCGCGGCCGCCGCGGCCTCCGCGGCTCGCGGCGCGACAAAGGAGATGCGCCGCTCTCGGCCCGCCGTCAGCGACCCCGGGTCGACGGCGTGCTGTGCCGCCGCGGCTGCCTCCTCCCCGCGCGCGCCCGCACCGCCGCCCGTCGTGTGGTGGTGGTGCAGCACCGTCCCCGTCAGCGCCGCCAGCTCCGCCGCCACGTTCTTGGGGCGGCCACGGTCCGCGGCGGCTCGCTGCGCGGCCGCCAGGTCCTCGGGCGTCCAGGCCATCCAGGGGGGGATGTGACTCACGGGCGCGGGCTCCATCCAGTCCACCGCCGCGTCCAGCGCCTCGAACTGCGCCAGCTCGTCGGGCCCACGCGCCAGCTGCTCGTTCAGCTCCCGCCACGTGGGCACCGTGTTTTGCGCCTGGCTCGTCCGCGCCTCATCCTGGGGAGGAGTTGTGGGTTTGTTCGGTAACATTTGGGGGTGGGAGGGAGGGAGGGAGGTGCGGGGGGTATCGAGGTGCGAGCTGCAAGGGGGTGTCGCGAGCGTCGAGGTGAGCCCATGGGCGGCACCCCACACCCTGCGGCAAGGCTTCCACCGCATGCCGCCCACCCACCCCATAGGCACACACATCTCGGCCCCCACCCCCCTCACCTTGAGCAGGGCCTCCAGGGTCTGCCGCCGCTCGTCGTTGGTGGTCTGCTGGTCAAAGCGCCCCGCGTCGATCACCTCGTTGGCCATGTCGATCTTCACGCGCTGGATCTGGTTGCGCACCAGCGACTCGATGCTGTCGGCATACAGCCGGGGCGCAGGTGTGGGCGGCGTGGCGGCCGGCAGGGCGCCCACAAGCGGCGCGGCGGCGGCGGGCACCGCGCCGCCACCTGGTGCGCATCCCGCCGGCGCGGCGTCGAGCGGCGGCCCTCCCGTGGGTGCCCCGCCGCTCGCCAGCTCCTTCCCGGCCACAGCCGCCGTGCCGGCTGCCGGCCGCGTCGCCTCGCCCGCTCCGCTCCCGCCCCCGAAATCCTGATCCGAAAAGACCTGGCCCGGGATGGGGTCGGCCACCGCCTCCAGATGAATCACACGCACCTCCTTCTTCTGCCCGATGCGGTGAGACCTTCACAGTGTTGTTTTATTGTTGGGTGAGGGAGGGGGGGAGGAGGGGTTGGAGAGGGAGGGGGGGGTGGAGGGGATGGAGAGGGAAGGCGAGGCATCGTGTGGACTGTGAATGGCAGGCGTGTCGGAGGCGTCAGGGAAAACAGGCGTGAGCCCCATTAAACCCCTCCATGCATTCTGATTCCTGCGCTTTCGAAGACTCCCTTCCCCCCACCCCCCACCCACACACCTGGCGATGGCCTGCTCCTCGTTCTTGGGATTGGGGTCGGGGTCGTAGATGACCACCGTGTCGGCGCTCTGCAGGTTGAGCCCGCGCCCCGCGGCGCGGATGGACAGCAGGAACACAAAGGCGTCAGAGTCGGGGGCGTTGAAGGCCTGGATGGCGCGCTCCCGGTCCTCCAGCGCTGTGGTGCCGTCGATGCGCAGGTAGCCCATGGTCCGCCTCGGTGGTGGCGGGGGATTCGGCGAGGCGGGGGCTCCTGTGGTCTCCTCGGCCCCTGCAGGACCGTCCGGCTGTCCGACATCTCCGCCCGCCCCTGCGCCGGCCCCGGCCGGCTCTCCTGCGGTCCCAGCACCCGCCGTCACATCGCCGCCGGCGCCCGATTGGGCCCCCTCTCGCTTGACCGCCGCCGCCGAAGCACGCCGCCGGTCCTCCAGCAACTGGCAGGCCGCGGGCGGCAGCGTGCGCCACCGCAGGTACACCTCCAGCAGGTCCAGCAGGCGGGTCATGGTGCTGAAGAGCAGCACGCGGTGCCCTGTGGCCACCAGCTTGACCAGCAGCCGGTCCAGCACCACCAGCTTGCCGCACTGGCGCACGATGGCGTCGCCCAGGCCCCAGTCCAGCGGCGGGTAGCTGAGCAGCGGGTGGTTGCACAGCTGCGCAGACGAAAAGGGAGGGGATCAGGGGTTCGGTGTGCGTGGGGATGTCAATGGCAAGCCAGATCGCAGACACATGGGCTGCGCAGGCAGGGGCAGCCACGGGCTGGAGGCCTCGGTCGACCTCGCCCCCAACCCCCACCCCCACCCTCCAAGCACGCCAAACGAAAAAGGCGTCGCCCACCTTGCGCAGCTCCATGCACTTGTTGTTCAGCGAGGCAAACTGCCGCTTCATCTTGTACTCCTGAGGCGCGCTGGGGTCCAGCCGCAGCGTCCCCGTCGCCTTGACCCAGTCGTAGATGGCGGACTGGTAGGGCGTCATGGGCACGCGCACCGTCATCGCCACCTTGGCTGGCAGCTTGCTCTCCACGTCCTCCACCTGGCGCCGCAGCATGAAGGGCTCCAGGATCTGGTGCAGGCGGTGGATGACCACCACGCGCTTCTCCTTCTCCAGCCAGTCGGCCTCGGAGCCGGCGCCCGCGCCCGCGCCCGCGCCGCCGTCCCCAAACCACTCGGCAAACATCTTGCGGTCGTCAAACACCTCGGGGAGCAGCAGGTTCAGCAGGGACCAGAGCTCCAGCAGGTCGTTCTGGAGGGGGGTGCCGGAGAGCAGCAGGCGCCGGGCGGCCGTGAAGCGGTCCAGGTCCTTGGCCAGCTTGGACTGGCGGTCCTTCATGCGCTGCGCCTCGTCGATGACGATGTACTGCCAGTCGATCTTGGCCAGCTTGGCGCGGTCGCGCATGATGAACTCGTAGGTGGTGACCAGGACGTTGAACTGCAGGCTCTGCACCTCCGACGCATAGCGCCGCGCGCGCTCGTCCCGCGTGCCGACGTAGTAGACGCAGCGAGCGCCGGGGAGCCACTGCGTCAGCTCGCTCTTCCAGTTCACCAGCACCGCGTTGGGGACGATGATCAGGTGGGGGCCGTAGTTGGACTTGTGCTCCATCAGGTACGCGATCAGCGCCATCACCTATGGGTCGGTCGGGGGGGGGGGGGGGGGGGGGGGGTAGGAGGGGTGGTGGCCTCACGGCCACGACCCACCCTGGGCCCGCTCGCCACCGCGCCCCCTCACCCACGATCACAGTCCTGCACGGCCTCACTCGCCTGCACCGTCTTGCCCAGCCCCATCTCGTCGGCCAGAATGCCGTTGAGGTGGTTGTTGTACAGGCTGACCATCCACTGCAGGCCCACCAGCTGGTACTCGCGCAGCTTGGCGTCGCCCGGCGGGCGGAGCAGCGACGGCTGCTCCGCGATGGCCTCCCGGTTGCTGTGCGCCAGCTCGTAGTAGTGCGACTGGGCGTCGGAGGGGCCGCCGCCGCCCCCCGCCGCCCGCAGCACGGCGCTGTTGGAGGCGGCGTCCTGGGCGGCCGCGTGCGCCGCCGCCTGGACGTCCTCCTCGCTCAGGCCCTGTTGGGATTCGGGGGAAGGTGGGGGTGCGGAAGAAGCGTTGATGGGCACGGCGAGGATCACGCAGGGAAGGCAGAAATGTCAACTGAGGACCTTGCAACATCCTCTGTCGTCCGCTATGTGGCTGTAAAGTTCCAGCTCCACAGCCTGCTACCCTCGCGGGCCCCACCGCCCCCTCCGGCCGCACCTGCGCCCGGGCCTTGACTATGGCGTCGGCAGTGGCCTTGGACACCTCGGCGGACAGCTTGACCCCGGCGATCTTGCTGGCCAGGCGAATGAGGTACTCCTCCGTGTCTGGGAGAGGAGGGGTGTTCTCAAGAGGGGCACTCAGAGGCAGGGACGATGTTGGAGGGTTCCGTTCGCAGGGCACCAAAGCAGCACATGCGGGGAGTGAGACGACCCTCTGGGCTGCCGAACCTTGCAAACTCTCCAGCCCTCACCCTTGAGGAACTTGGAGATGGCAACGTACTTCTCCCCCGCCGAGGCGGCGCCCGTGGACTGGGCGCGCAGCATCTCCTGGTACGCCTCGAAGTCGTGCGCCTTGAGGGCCTCCAGGCGCAGCTGTCGGTCGTCGCCCTTGAGCTTGTTCCTCTCCCGCGCCAGGCGCTCGTGCGCCCGCAGCAGCCCTGTGCTCGAGTCCGTGAGGCGGTGTCGGGTGGAGTTGCCCAGGTTGAGGGCAGCACGCGAGCGCTGCGACCAGGCACCGCCGGGCCCGAGGTCCCAGTCGCAGGTTCGCAACCCTCTCGGACCCACCCCCTCGGGCCTCGACCACTCCGCCACGCACCCTTGTTCCTCATGGACAGCGCGTCGCGCAGCGCGCCGCCCCGCTCCCCCAGCACCTCGCCCTTGAGCGCCTTGGCGTCCCGCGCCCGCCGCGCCGCCGCGTCGGCGCGCTGGGCCAGCTCCCGCCGGGCGGTCTCGATGCGCAGCGCGCGGTGGCTGCGCACCAGCGCACGGTGCTTGGCCGGCGGCATGGCCGCGATCTCGGCCTGCGCGGCCTCCACCGCCGCGCGCAGCGCGTGCTGGCGCGGCAGCAGCGCCAGCCTGCGCGCCTGCAGCGCGGCCTGCCCGCGGGGCAGGGCCGGGCTCCTCCACGCGAACCCCGGCGCGGCGTCCGGGGAGGCGAGAGTGGCGGCCGCCTGGGCCGCGGCCTCACGCTGGCGCCTGTGGCAGGTGGGAAGGGCGGAGGGTGAAGGGGGATGTGGGTGACGACCCATTCAGCGCCCCACATCGGCACAGGACAGGCACATGTGTAGGGCCGGGCCGTTTGCCAACCCCCCTTGACACTGTCCACCCAGGCACAACGCCCTGAACTCACTGCGTCACGAGGCGGGCAAACTCGGACTGCAGGAGGGGCAGGATGTTCAGGGCATACGGCAGCGTGGGCAGGGATGGGCCATGCTTGGAGGAGGCCGGTGTCGGATCGTGGGCCGCCGCCAGCTCGTACAGCGGTCCCGCCTGTCGATCACAATGGAAGGAGTGTGCACCGCGTCATGGGGGCCATACAGAACCGACACTCGACCATTCACCTGCCAGCGCTGCCGGGGCTGCACACATCTTGTCCCGGATCAAGAGGGCCGCAGAGGATCGAGGGCCGCGGAGGATCGCAGGACGCACCTACATTTCTGTCATGCAGCGCCATGGCCAGGCCCAGCCCCCCTGCCATAATCCAGGTACCAAACCGGGCAGGCCACCCACCTGGGGCACTTTGTAGACGAGGGGCGCCTCGTCCACCTTCACGCCGCCCTCCCTGCGCGGTGACGACGTCGGGGCTGATCCTGGCTCGTCCCTTGCTCCGACGCTCACCGCCACCTGGGGCTTGACACCCCGGCCTGCAGCGTCAGTAGCCTGGGGCGCGGCAGGCTGGAGGGCGTGCGCTGCTGGCCCTCCCTCCACCTTTTCCACAGGAGTAGGGCCCTGGCCCACCCGCGTCAGGGGAGGGGGGATCGACCCTGCCAGCGTCTGAGGGGGGATGGGCTGATCCGGCGCCGCGCGGAGCTGCTTATACACCACTATCTGGCAGCGCAGCACATCCAGCTGGGCGGGTGTGAAGCCATTGGGCCCGGCTCCGTACGGGTCCATGCCCAGGAGAGCCTGCGGCTGTCACTCCATGCTCAGAGATGAGCTAGGGCAGGCGAGATGCCGCAAAGTCACTGGATGGACGATGCTGATTGAAATGGATGGCGAGAGGCACACTGCGGGTCGCGCAGGCCCAGCCGGGGTCCCCTGTGCACCCCCGACACCTCTCGTAGGCCGCAAGTTGAGGGTGTGTGATCTTGCCCCAGTCCAGAGCAGGAAAACAAATCGATCGATACCCTCGTCATGTGAAAGCATTGCCTGCGCGCGCGCACTGAGAGACGATGGTGTGCTCCTGCAAGTCGCTGTGGGAACCCCACGTGGGGAGCTGCGCAGGAAGTGATCTGGGGAGAGCACCGCAGCCTATGCTGTGCCCGAGGCGCCCTGGTCCTACTGCAGACGTCACGATGCACTTGCTACTCCCAAATTCACATGCATGACGGGGCAAGTATCGAGCGCCTGCAAGGCCACGACGAGGCTGAGGCCCTGGGCTGCCCCAAGTGTCGGTGGGCCGTCAGGGGATGCGGGCGCTGTCGGGCACTCAGTCCCGCAGCCCGGAGGATCAAGCGTCAGAAGAGGGAGCTCGGCAGTAGACTTGGCAGGCGTGGCGCTGCAGCGAATGCTCCACGAGGCCCTGCGCAGCTCAAGCAGGTGCGAGTTAGCGGTGGGGCTGCAGCCTAGGAGTTGTGGAGTGTTGAGGTCAGAATGCACAAAGTAATGTGTTCGTGCGCTATCTCAGGGCTCTAACTGAATTTAACAGAATGATGAAGGGTCCTCCGTCTCACTCTCTCAATGTCTATCTGCAGAACAACTCCCAGACTGGACCCTCCAAGCGCTGCTTCCCAGCCGAAGCGCCGGCCGCTTCAAAGGCGCAGTCCCAAACAGGAGCGTGCGCCGCCCCGCCGGCCAAATTCCGACGGGTCGAGCAGGAGGCATCACCTGTTCCGGGCAAGCAGGCATTCGCTGCTGCCACCGGGAGCGTGAGGCAAAGGGAAGGCCCCGAAGCTGCGCCCCTGCCAGGGCCAGATGGCCCACCGCCCTCCAAATTCCGCAAGGTCCAGCCGTCAGGCAGCTGCTCGCCGTCCCATGGCACAGTGAGCAGCGGCAGTACATCCACGGCCCCGCCCCCTTCACCGGCCCATGCCGCTCCTGCGGCAGACTTCCGGAAGAAGCTGGAGGTGGGGATGGAGGAGGCCCGGAAGCGGCGGCTGAGTGGTAAATCCGACACCTCCCATCCATCGCCGCTCTCTCCCCCTCTGAAGCGGATGTGCAAGGTGGCGTCAGTGGCTTGGTGGGGGAGAGGGGGATCTGAGCTATTGCGCCTGATGCAGGGCACATCCTTTCTGAAACTCCCTGTGGAGGTCCCGCTGCATTCAGGTTGGGAGGCTGCGTTCAACGGCAGTTTGCTGCAGAGCTGTGGCGTGCTCCAGCACTGCCTCGTACACAGCCATTCCTGTGCCCCTGACTGCCGCTGACGAGCTCATTCCCCAGCGCATGATCAATCCCATCGTCGGACACCCATACCTGCCTCTCCCCTGGCACCCACCCACCAGGGTCCAGGCCCGGCGAGCCCCCGCCTGCTCCCCGAGGACCCCCGCGTCGCGCTGTGGCACCCACCCATCTCGCCCTACGGTCTGCTGGAGGAGGAGCTCTACCCTGACCCCTGGAAGCTGCTGGTGGCCTGCATGCTCCTGAACAAGACCACGAGCCGGGCCGTGCGCTCCGTCATCTGGACGCTCTTCGACATGTGCCCCGGCCCCTTGGTGGCAGCGGTCACCCACGTGGCCCGCATCCAGGCCCTCATCCAGCCCCTGGGCCTGGCCAACAAGCGGGCGGAGGCCATCCAGCGCCTGTCCTGGGAGTATGCCCACAAAGACTGGCGGGACCCGCAGGAGCTCCACGGCGTGGGTCGGTACGGGGCGGACGCCTACCACATGTTCTGCCGGGGCCTATGGCGCGAGGTGGAGCCGGAGGACAAGGACCTCAGGCGCTACCGCGACTGGCTCCTGGCCACGGGGGGCCAGGGCATGGGCTTCCAGGCGGAGGCGGGCGGCGGCGGCAGGGGCGGGGGAGCAGCCGGCAGCCAGGGGCCTGAGCGGGTGGAAGCCATGTGCTGCGACTGATGCAACGACCGCGTGCTTGCCAGGCCGGCCCAGCAGGTCAGGTGGCACTGGAGCCCCCGGGAGAATGTGGGCGCGTGCAGGGGCTCACGTCGGTGCGCTGATCAGGATCCTGAGCCGCTGAGCAGCAGGCGAGCCTTCCAACCCCTGACCATCCTTGATACACCGCCTCCTCAGCTCATGCCTGCATGTGGCCTGTGGCTGCCAGCTGGTCGGTAGAGCCATCGTGATCAGCACGTACGCCCCAGGGGGGTTGCAACCCTGGATTGTGATCAAGTGCTCCATCCATTGCATGGGGAAGGGGTGCACATGATGTGCATAGCTGTGCTCATGCCTTACTGCGGGACCCCAGATTTTGATATTGTTGCTGCAAGGCCTGGCGTCTCTGGATACTTGCTTGATTTATTGGCACTCTGAAAGCTCGCGCTGAGGAGGATTCGACTGAACATTGGGATTTCACCCAATGAATGAAGCACCCCCCCGGGGCCAACATCACCAGCGACACTTTCTTTTCAGCACCCTTCCAAATACATCGTCGCAGCTGGTAGAGACCGGCCCTGCGTGACCACGGTCCTGACGAGCCCCTGCCAGCCCTGGCCTGTTCCCTAGGACCTGTTCATCGTATATCCATCGCATCGCATGTATCGACTGATCGGGGCCCAGGGGTGCGCCCTCCAGGGGTCGAGGCCCCGTCCCGCGCCCTGCCCCCCCTCCTGCCCGTGAGGCCGACCCTTCGAACATGGCGGGAGCGTCCTCACCGCCCTCCAAGGCCCCCGCTGAGCCCCACACCCCCGATACAGAGGCCTCCAAGGCCGAGTGCGTGTGCGTGGCCGTCCACGTGCGGCCCCTCGTTGAATCGGAGCTGGCGGAGGGGTGTGAGCACGCCCTCACCGTCACCCCCGGCCTGCCACAGGTGCGACTTATGGTGGGGGGGCCTTTGAGTGCTGCCGACGAATACGCGCAGTCGAGTACGGTGGAAGCGGCTGCTCATGCCGGTCATCGAGCGATCGTGCCGACCCCAGCAGCAAGGGGGGAACAGGTGTCCACTCCCTTCCCTGTTGAGCACCTGCGCCCAGTGCCTGCCTGAGTCAGTCGAGGCCCCACCTGCTGTTCCCCAATCAACCCCCTCCCCCCCCACCCCCCAGGTTGGGCATGGCGCCCACCGCTTCACCTACGACCACGTCTTTGGCGGAGACATGGGGCGCCCCGCCTGGGAGCTGTACGGCGCCTGCGTGGCGCCGCTGGTGGAGGGCCTGTTCTCCGGCTACAATGCCACCGTGTTTGCCTACGGCCAGACCGGCTCCGGCAAGACCTTCACCATGGGCAGCAGCGGCTTCGGCGCGCGGCCCGAGGAGGCCCGCGGCGTCATCCCTCGCGCCATGGAGGACCTGTTCGGCCACGTGACCCAGCGCCCCGCCATGCACTGCACCGTGCGCGTGGGATTCGTAGAGATCCACAACGAGGAGATCCGGGACCTGCTGACCGCCGCCGTCGGGGGCGGCGGCGCGGGGGGCGGCGCCGGCATCAAGATCCGCGAGGTGCCGGGCCAGGGCGTCTGCCTCGCCGGCGCCGCCGAGGTGGAGGTGACCAGCCGCGAGGAGCTGGCCGCGGTGCTGGAGGCGGGCAGCGTGCTGCGCGCCACCGCTGCCACGGGCATGAACCGCCGCTCCTCCCGCTCCCACGCCATCTTCACCGTCACCGTGGAGCAGCGGCGGATGGAGGAGGGCGAGGATGGTGCAGGCGGGCCGCGCCGCTGCTCAACGGCCTCGCAGGAGGACACGCACGGCGGCGGGCGCAGCGGGGACGAGGCCGAGGACGACGCGGCGGGGGAGGCGCCGCAGGCGGCCGCGTCCGGCGAGGACGAGGGCGGGGCGGGGTCCTACCTCTGCGCCAAGCTGCACCTTGTGGACCTCGCAGGTGCGTGCTTGTGGGGGACCCTGGAGGAGGGCAGAGGGGCTGGCCGGCACCCCGCCGGCCACGGTGGCGTGTGCCTCGCATTCCCGGGTAGGCGAGCATGCGGAGCGCTGAGGGAGCATGCCCTCCCATGCCCTGCACCTGCCTGGCCCCCCCAGACCCACCCAGCGCCGTGCGTCTCGGTGGTACCTGGTTTGTCTCACGGGTGCCTGATCGGGCGCATGGGGTACCTCCTCCCCGGCCCCCCTCTCCCTCCCTCTCGCATTCTCCACACCCGCGCCCCCCTCCCCCCCCCACCCTCTCCCTCTCCCCCCAGGTTCCGAGAGGCTCAAGCGCACCGGCGCCACGGGGGCCCGCCTCCAGGAGGGCATCGACATCAACAAGGGCCTCAGCGAGCTGGGCAATGTGATCAGCGCGCTGTCGGAGGGCAAGCCCCACGTCCCCTACCGCAACTCCAAGCTGACGCGCATGCTGCAGGCGCGTGCAAGCTGGGAAACAGGGGGAGTGAGGTCATGTGCATCCACGGGTGTGCGTCCGTGGGAGAGCAGACAGGAGCAGCATCCGCGCTGAGGCCTTTGGGGTGGGGACGATGGGAGGGTGGGTGTCGGTGCACTCACTGCTTCCACCACGAACCTGCGCCCCAACCTCCTACCCTCCTCGCACCACGGCGTGCCACCCCGACCCCTCTCGATGTCCTCGCTGCTGACGCATCACACTCGCCCGGTCCGCTCCACGACCTGCCTTTCCGCCGCTGATGGCCGTCTCCCGACCGCTCCCGGCCGCGCAGGACTCGCTGGGGGGCAACAGCCGGACGCTGATGGTGGCCTGCGTGTCCCCCGCCGACATCAACCTGGAGGAAAGCATGAACACGCTGCGCTACGCCTCGCGCGCGCGCAACATCCGCAACCGCCCCGTGGTGAACCGAGACCCCGTGGCAGCCCAGCTGGCGCACCTGCGCCAGCAGCTGGGCATGGCGCGAGCCGAGGCCGCCCGCCTCAAGTGAGAGGCTTCCGGGCTGGGGGGGGGGGTGGCGGTTGGAGGGGGAGGGCAGGGGCTGCGAACGCGTGAATCCAGAGGCCGGGGGTGAGGTGTGAGGCAGTCATTCAATGTCGGATGGCTGGGGCGATGCGGTGTGTGGTTTGGACATCGGCATCACACCCTGTTTGGTGGAGTCTGGAGCTTGAACTTGACGTTGGGAACCAAGGTCTCTGCACCATGTCGGACACTCAATCGTCTCATACCTCGTGCAACCCCCGAACCCTCACACAACGCAGCATCTGGCCGCTCGCTTCTCAGTGCTCCACACCCACGCCCACCCCGCAGGCAGCGGCTGGCGGTGTATGAGTCTGGGGCCGGGTCCTCCCACCAACTGGACCACGACCTACATTCCATGCTTTCCAGGGACGAGGCCCTGGGGGCAGCCATGGTCGACGCGGGGCGCCGCCTGCGCGCCGCCGAGCTGGAGGTCGACAAGCTGCAGGCCGAGAGGGTGAGGTGGGGGGGGAGGCTGGGGAGGGCGGCGTCACACGGGGCCTCGAGGGGTGGAACTGGCGACAGATGCATGGTCGGGGGTGGCAAGGGTGGGCAGGGGCGATGCCTCCGCTGCACGACACGAGTCAGGCCGGGAGGCCGTGGTCTGTGCACTCAGTCTCCAGGCCTGAGCCTCGCTCCCCGTGGCCACCCCTGCTGCCATTCCTCACGTGACCCTGCAGTCGCCTGGCCGCCTCCTCCTGCCTCCCACACACCCCCCAGCTCCATCTCAACCGCCCCCGACAGGACGAGCTGGCGAGCGAGGTCCGGGCCGCGTCCCTGGCCGTGCTGCGGGCTGGGGAGGAAAGAGAGGCGCTGGCCCGCGCGCTGGCGACCGCGGACCCCACGGCCGCCGCCACGCTCGCCGCGCAGCCCGTGCCGGGCCCCTCGGCCGCGCTGCTCGCGCGCGTGGCCGAGCTGGAGGAGGAGCTGGCGAGCCTGAGGAGGAGCGGCGGCGGCGGGGCCGCGTCGGGCGCGGGCACGCCGCTGCGCAGCCCCGCGCCGGCGGACGCCCTGCTCTCCTCCGGCTCGCGCCTGCGCAGCCGGCGCTTCTCCCTGGGGGCCGGTGACGCCGCGTCCCCCGCCCCCACGGCGGCCCCGCGGGAGGAGGACGACGAGGAGGCGCGGGCACACGCCGCCGCGCACGCGCGCGAGGTCGCCGACGTGGAGCGCCAGCTGGGCGCGCTGCAGCTGAGCCTGGAGGCCAAGGAGCGTGCGGCGCTGGCGCTGGCCGGGCACGCCGCGCTGCGCGACGCGCTCTCTTCCCAGCTGGCGGGGCTGGCCGCGGAGCGCGACGGCCTGGCGCGCGAGCGCGCGGTGCTGCTGGCCGAGCTGGAGAGGCTGGCGCATGCGGGGGAGGAGGAGCGCGCGCGCCTGGCGGACGACTACAGGCGCCGGCTGGCGGCGCTGGACCGCCAGCTGGCGGCGCTGCGCCAGAAAGAGCGCCGCGTGCGGGAGCTGGAGCGCCTCAAGGCGCGGGCGGAGGAGACGTGTGCGCGGCTGGAGCGCGACATCGCCGGGATCAAGACCGCCAAGGCCGCGCTGCAGCGCCGGGGGGAGGCCGCGGCGCGGGAGCACCTGGAGTGGCAGCGCGCGCGGGAGCGCGAGGTGGCGGCGCTGCGCAAGGAGGGGCGCGCCGCGGCGGCCAGCCTGCACCGCCTGCAGGCGCTCAGCGCCAAGCAGCAGGCCGTGCTGCGGCGCAAGACGGAGGAGGCGGAGGCCGCGCGGCGCAGGCTCAAGGTATGGTGTTCTGCTGCGAGGGGTGGGGGGAGGGGGGTGGTATGGCGGGCCCCGGGTGGGGTGGGGGGGGTATGTCGGCCCGGGGGGTCATGATCCCAGCCCTTGCGCACTGTGTCTGCTCCTCATGCCCTCTGGGGCGCCAGAATGGGTGGGGCGGGGCACCCGCGGATCGGATGAAGATGTCACCTGCACTCGGTGGCGCCGCCCGCCGGCGTCGCCGACACCCCGGTGTCGCTGCCGCCGCCCGCTTGCTGGCTCTGCATGCACACCCGGGCCCCGCCCCCGCCGCCGTGCAAACCCTCAATCGCACCTGAATCCGCACCCCGACCACCCCCCCCTCCACACCACAAGGAGATGGAGGAGCGGAGGGTGCGCGCCCTGACCCCGCGCGAGCGGCCGGGCGGGACCCCGCCGCTGTCCGAAGGTGGGCCGGCCGCGACGGGCGGCCTGGCCAGCGCCCCCAACTCCGCGCGCGGCGCCGCGCCCTCGCTCTCCGCGCCCCCGCCCCGCCCGCCGTCCGCCAGGCCCGTGCCCGGCGTGGTGGACGCCCCCCCCCCCGCCTCCGACAACGCCGGCCCCGACCCGCCCTGCCAGCCGCACGCGCTGGCGCCGCTGCTGCGCGACGAGCGGGCGCGGCGCGCCTGGGTCGAGCGCGAGCTGGAGGCCTGCTGCGCCGCCGGCGACCTGCAGCGTGTGCTGGAGGGCGAGCTGGTCCAGCGCTCCGCCGCCGCGCGGCGGTTGCGCGAGGTGGAGGCGGCGCTGGCCGCGCGGCGCAACCCGGCCTGGTGGCCGGCCTCGCTGGCGGCGGCCGCCGGCGCGGGGCCCTCGGAGGCGGAGCTGCTCGCGGAGCGGCGGGCGCTGGCCGGGCGGCGCGACGCGCACGGGCGCGCCATCGCCGAGGCGCAGCTGGCGCTGTACGCGGCGCGGCGCGCGGAGGAGGAGCGCGGCGCGGGCGCGGCCGACGCGCGGCGCTGGGCGGGCGTGCGCTCCGCGGGCGAGGCGCGCGTGCTGCTGCGCTCGGTGTTCCGCGCGGCGGCGGCGGCGCGCGCCGCCGCCGCCGAGGCGGCCGCCGAGGCCGTGGAGGCGGGGGAGGAGGTGGAGCTGCTGCGCCTGAAACTGGAGGCCGCTGAGCAGGACAAGATGGAGGCCCACCGCCTGGCCGCCGAGGCCGAAGCCGCGCCGGCGGCAGCCGTGGTGGGCGAGGCTGCCGGCGACGGTGGGCGTGAGTTTGCCGCGGTGGGGCGGCCCGGCGTGGCGGAGGGTACAGATCGTGGGGCGGCGGGGCGGGACGTGCGGCGAGAAGAGGCCGGGGCAGAGGAGGGCGATTTGGGGGGTGGACGGCGAGCGGCGGGAGGAGGCGATGCCACCCTGTGGCGCGCCGGGGGGGTGCCCTCCCCGCCCGCGCGCGGGGATCCCTGGTCCGGCACGACGGCGAGCTCAGCCCAGCCACCGCACCTCGCCGGCGCGACACGCCCTCCCCTGGATGACACCGACGCGGCGGCCGCGGCGCTGCTGGCCCAGCTGGAGGCGTGCATCGGGCCGGGGAGCGGCGTGGACGCCGCCTGCCGCGGCGGCGACGAGGGCGAGGGCGCGTGCGTCGTGGAGCGGGACGCCACTGTGCGCCGCGGGCCGGCGCCCCTGCGCCTCCCCCGCCGGGCCTCCTCGCCGGCGGTGAGCGCGGCGGGGACGCCGGGGTCGCATGCGCTGGCCGACCCCGCCTCCCCGGATGTTCCTTGCTGGGAGGGGCGCTGCGACGACGACGACGACGATGAGAGTCCCAGCAGCAGCAGCAGCGAGGAGGACGACGATGCGAGGGACAGGGCCTACACCCCTTCCCAAGCCACGCCCGCCCCCGCGGCCAGGCGGCGGCGGCGGGGGAGGGGCCGGAGCCTGGAGCGCGGCAGCACCCGCGTCGGCGGCCATGCGACCGGCCGTGCGAGCCTGTCCCACGAGGCGCCGCTCCTGGCCTGGCTCAACGCCTGGCTGGCGCAGCAGGGGAGGCCCACCCTGGCGCGCCTCACGGTGCGATGGGTGTTGGGAGGAAAGGTAGAGTGGTTTCTTCTGGGTTGCAGGGGGAGATGAGGCACGGTGCAGATCCTCATCATACGCGTGTGTCCGAGCTGCTGGACGCTGATACCCCGCATGCCACGTGCGCGCAGGTCCCGGTGCTCCGCGCCTTCCTCGACGGCACTGCGGCCGGGGAGGAGGGGGTGGTAATCCGGGGTCGCAGGAAGTCTGCCCTCCTCGCCCAGCTGCAGGCCTGGCTGGGGTCGCGCGCCGCCGGGCTGCGCCCGCCGGCGCTCCCCGCAGAGGCTGTGGGGGGCGCCTGCACCCCGCCGGGGAGCAACGGAACCCCACTGGGCGCGGCCGATCAGCCCACCCCGGAGGCGGGCCTCGGGCCGCTGCAGCGCCTGGAACCGCCGGAGCGCGGCCCCCCGCCGGTCGCCCGCGCCGAGGCCTCCCCCGCGGCCGAGTACCTGCAGCAGAGCGAGGAGGCGCGGGCGCGGACGGCCGCGCTGAAGGCCGCCATCGAGGAGCAGCTGCGCAAACCCACCCTCTCCCAGCTCCAGGCCATGGCCGCCTCGCCGCTGCGTGCGTCTGAATTCTTTTGTTGTTCCTGGAAGGGCAGGAGGGGTTGTGTCTCCAATGGGCATGAGTCTGCAGGGCTGGAGGGGCGGCATGAAGCGCCGGATGATCCTTGTTCAGGAGCACGCTCATCATGTCGCGCGCCGCCTCAGGCCCCTGCAACCCCACTCCCACTGCTGCAGGTGCAAGCAACGGCGCCGCTCCCCCCGCCCCGCACCATTCGCCGGCACGGAGTCTGGACGGCGAGAATCGGGGCGCCGAGGCCGGTGGCCAGCCCAGGCCCCCCCACGGCGCCAAGCGCGCAAGCGAGGGTGCCAGGGCGGGCGACGACGCGCCGCGCGAGGGGTCGCCGGCCAAGGCGCCGGGGTCCGCCCCGGGGACGGCGCGTGTCTTCCTCCCGACCACCAGCCCCGTGCGGAGGAGGGCCTGGATCTGAGCCCGGAGATTGAGCCCAGCTTGCGTGTGGGTCTGTGCGCTCTGACGCCCACAAGCACCGGGGCGGAGTCTTGCTGTGGAGGCTCAGCGCGCTCCTCGATTGACTCTTGCGTCGTGGCGATACACTTGGCGCCGGCGACGGACAGAACGGGCCTGCCCATCCATGATCCCATCGCATGACCATCCAGACAATACCTGAAGAGGCGCCAGGCCTCCCACCCTTCACCACATCAAGCAAACCTTGACATGGCGGGGCGTCGATCGCCCCAGCCTGCTTGACATTGCAGCCGCCCTGCCCTGCACCCACGTGGCAACAGATAGACCATGTACAAAGCCGCGTCAGGGGAGCAGGGGATCAACAGGTCCAGGCAGTCGCTTTCTTGGGGACAGGCAGCGAGGAGGGCAGGGGGATGGGCGCCTCGCGGCCTGTCAGTCGTGGCGCTTGCCTGAAAGGGGCACGGCCTCCAGTGCCCCCTGACTGGCGCACCCCACCGGGTTGCCGAAGTCCCTGCCCTGCGGGCGTGCCAGAGGCAGGCTCGCTGGGCGGTGGGATGAGGCGGGAGACCGCGACCGCATCCAGGTTGAAGCCCGACTGCCTGGGTGGAGCCTTGGTGAACTGGGCTAGGCTGGCGGCGTCGCGCGGCTGCCCAGACCCGGTCAGGCTGCGCTCCCGCAGCAGAGTATCGACCCGGGCGATCTCCTCCCTGGTCCAAGCTCGCTCTCTGCGACGGAAGGAGAGTGCGCGGAGGAGGGCAGTTGAGCGGCCTGGGCTGGGTGTTAGACACCCGAGCTCTCTACCAAACTGTTGTCAGGAATCCCTTCCCCCACTTTCCACCATGCAGTTGTCCCAGCATGACACACACCTTGAGGGTTTCCACCAACACGCACCTCCGCGCCGAGAGCAGGGTGAGCTCCAGGCGATCCATGCTGGCCGCTTGGCCCGCCAGCCCCTCCTGCAGGCTGCGCTGCTGCTCCTGGATGCCCGACAGCAGCGCCGCCAGGGAGGGGGACACCGAGTCCAGACCTTCGCCCAGCGGCTCGCGGTCTCGGGCGAGGGTGGGTGGGGGGGAATCTGGATGCACCCCACTCATGTCCGCCCCACCCGCAGAGCGCCCTGGCCTCGGCGGGCCCGCCATCACCGCACCACGCCTCACGCTCGACCCCGCTGCCATGAGCCTCGTGCCGCGCCCTGCTGCGGCTTCGCGACCCGGAGCCCCAGCCGCCATTGGAAACCCCGGGCCGTCGTCGCGCACGGCCAGCCGCTGGTGGTAGGCTTGGATCTCGGCCTCCTCGCGTTCCTCCTGCGCGCGCTGCTCCGCGCGGCGTGCCGCATCCGCGGCCCGCTTCTCCTGGACCTGGCGCGCCAGGTCGGCCTTCAGCGCGGCCTGCTTCGCGGCAGCTTCCTCGGCCTGCGCTCGTGTGGGGCCGGGGCGCAGGGACTGCACCGAGGCCAGGAAACCCCGGGCCCGGCCCTGGAGGGGGGGGGAGGCCGACCCCGGCATGGGCACGCCCGATTGCCAGCCGGCGGCAGTTGATGGCAGCGGTGAGGTGGCGCTGGTCTGGGAACGGCGCGACAGGGTTTCCAGTGCATCTGTAGCCCTGTCCTGGGATTGTGCGTGGGTAACACGCCCCGTGTGGCTTCCGTTGTCGGTAGCTTCGGGTCCTGGGGCTCCAGCTTGTTCCACTCCCATGGGTCCGTGAGGCACGACGGCGTCCCCCTTCTCCGCAGCATGTGTTACTCCCTGCTGCAGGCTGGCACGCTGCTGCTGCAGAATTTGCAGCAGGGAGTCGATCTCGACCTGACTGAGGGCCGGGTGCGGGGCTGGGATGGCGCTGGGGGGATGGGCCCGAGCCTCCTGTTGATGCACCGCCCCGCGACCGGGAGGGCCGGAGGTTCGACGTGGTGGTCTGGGATCCCTCGCACCTTGCAGACCAATGCACGGGGAATCTTGAATAAGATGGTGGGTCCTGGGCCAAAATCTCTGACCTTGAAGCACATGCGCCTACCTTGCAGTCCGTTCCTTGGGGGAGCAAAGTACGTCATTCTGGCTAGACCGGCCCCAGGAGGCAGATTGTGGACCTACATCACCCAATATGCAATTCAGTATGTTCTATCATCAGTTTTTCGCATCGCCAAGAGGGTTTCCGACAGAGTTTCGGGGATGCGAGGTTACATCGCTCAGTCAATTCTTGCTTTGACTCCGACACTCCCGCACCACCCCTATCCGCGAATGCGGCGCACGAGTCGAAGATATGCCGCTACCGGGCTTGCGCCGGTTGCACAGCTGCTTCCCGCAAGCGGGATCTGGCTGGCGCAGTTGGTTGCCTCTAATGGCGAACCGGAGAGGTGGGGGGGCGGGAGAAGGGGGAGCAGGGGGGCCACCAAATGCAGTGGGACGAAGTGCACCAGCAAAAAAGCACTTGAGCAACATCAGCATGTTGACCACCCCGTTGACATCGCGGTTGACGACGTTGACCTTGCAGCCTCTGTTCGTACACCGCTTGGTGTCCCACACGTCCACCAGCTTCTCCACGCCGTTGGGCACCCGCACGTACTGGTGGGCGTGCAGGGTGGCGTGACAGGCGCAACACAGCTTTGATGACCTGTGCTCGTCAACCACCACCACCCTGCACACCCGCCGCAGGCGCCGCAAGAAGCGTATCCAGGGCCCCCGCAGAGTCCCCCGCATGATGCCCCCCCGGGTCCTGGGCCAACCAATTGCCCACGCCCACGACGAGTCCCCCGCATGATGCCCCCTCTGTCCTGGGCCGACCAGTTGCCCACGCCGACAATTGTAGTCATGCCGGGGGGAGCGCGGAACTGCTCCGCCAGCCGGGTGATGGCCCGCTGCCTGCCGACGTAGGCCTGGTGCCGGAGCTTGCGAAATGGCTTCAGGTGCATGTGCCAGGCCAGGCCCTCTCGCAGTTTGGGGGCGATCCAAACGACCCGGGATAGGAGCACCGCTGTGCTCGCTGTTTTATGGGTCGGGCACCTGTGGGGAAGGGGTCTTGAGGAGGGCTGGAGTAAACATGT